ATTTTAAGGTAAATGTGTATGTTCGGAAAGATAAAGGTTTCATTCCTGAACACTAAAAAGGAATTTCACGGAAATATAGAAAAAACTGTGGAAATAAAAATTCTTCATGGAATCCCCCAATTAAAGACATCATAATTTACTGGTGCCCTGCTTGAATGATTTGATAGTCACTCTCTACATCATAGCAAAATAATCTCTTATGCAAAGGACTAAGGAATTTACCATAGTGAGGATCTCATTTGCTCCCTTATATTGCCAGCATTCATATTAGTTATTTCCATAGGCAAAGCCTGTTGTTATACCATGTCTTCTTACCAGGTTTACTTCTTGGGCATCATTATCTCAACGACAGATGTCTTAATTCGCAGCTCTCAACTCTTCCAACAGATTAGTGTGTTTGTGAAGTTGATAAATTGCCTGACATTTTAGATAAGGCATTTGTCTATAATTCACATAACTGTAGGATTCACAGCGACTCTCACCTGTATATGGCTACCCTTGGCTCCTGGCTGCAGGACCCCTTCTGGCTTGCTACCACAGTCCCACCTGGCCAGCCTCTCGTTCTAAGAAGGCCAGGGCCACCAGGTACAGAGTGGAAGGAGACCCGGAACAGGGCTGCCTTGGGACCAGCCGTAGCTCTGAGTGCTGTGTTCTCAGAATCAGAACAGCAGCAGCTTGTCAGTACCAGCTATGTCTCTGCAATGACTCCAGCACAGGCAGCCAGCTGCCAGGCGCCAGGGCTAGATTTTCCTGGCTAGAGGCTCACAGCCAAAGCCCCAGGAAACATGGAATTTATTTTTACAAAATACATACCAAGAAAGTGATTCAGTGTAGGATGGGAGAAGCTAAAGGGCTCAAGAAAGAAAATTAAGTCTTCCTAGTCATGTTGCAAAATTCTCAGTGTATGTTTTAAGTGTATATTTAACACGATCAGATAAAAAGAACAATATCAGCCTTTAAGGAGTGAAGAGAAAGGTATTACTATGGGACAGACTGCTAAAGTTTTAAATACAGTCCCTGGGCAATGCTTCTCTATACACTAAATGTGGAACCCCGATTTTCAATGAATGTATGTAAAAACTTATCAAGGTAACTCTGAGTGTGTAGTTTAGTGGTACTTACCTGACATTTTTCAGGCTCTGATTAGATCCTCAGCAGAGAAATATACACCAATAAACAAAGCAAAATAAGAAATATACTTTCAGTAAGAGGCAAGAGAATAATAGCTGCAGAAACCATTCAAATATGGACCTGAGAACGGAGGTTCTGTAAGCTCTCCTCATACCAGTCCCTCTCAACACAGGTCTTTTCAGTGCTTATCAGAAAAACCATTTCCGCTCCATGGGTGGTTACCAATGCTAAGAGCACCCCTCACTTTTGTCCCCAATTATGTCTCCATTCCTCCCAAGCCCTGACATGTGGAGCTGCTTGTTATCCAACAGTTGAGCTGTCTTGGGACAGCTATTCAATCCTAGTTAAAATATGAAGGATCCCAGGAAGAAAAACTACTCTGTATTAGACATACCATCACCTCTGCCTTCTCTTAGAGAAGACTTTGATCAGTAGGCATAAAGGAGCATGAAACTCTGGGCGGGGTGTGATACATAAAAAAATTGACTGAATTTTAGTTTTAATAAAATATACAATTTACAAAGTGACAGCAGCTTAAGATTTCTGATATCAAGCTGCAGAACAACAGATAGTCAATGTAAAACTGATTTCATAAGTTAAATTCTAAGAAAGTACTATTAATGAAACAGAAAACTTGATCAAGCAACAATTTGGGGAAGGAATTAAGAAATCCCTGGATATAAAAAGAACTGCTCTAGAAAAAACAAACTACCAAAACATAGGAACAAACAGAGCACTGAATGAAAATATGCAAAGAGCTGGACAGCTATGGGACCATAGAAGCCTCAAAAAGAAACAGTAAGTTCAAGAGGAACATAAAGATCACTCCTAGAGCACCCTCTCCCCAAAAGGACATTCTTCAAAGCACACTAAGTAGTTCCTAGAATTCAAAGGCCTACTCATCACTATGAAACAGAAGAACTGCTATAAAAAACTTGAATCTCCTAACCAAAACTATGAGTTTTAAAAGTATAATACATTACAAACAAATTGCTCAGATTATGATCCACATTTAAGGCAAGTTTGTTTATGGAATAGTTTTGAAAATTGTCCACCTGGCCTCAACAACTATAATCTTCCTTTCTTCGGATACAAATAGAAGTCATAAAACTAGGAAAACAGTGAAGATTATCGAGACTGTTAATTGGCCCACCTTGTGGACATTTGCATAGGTACAATATAAATACTCACTTCCGTTTTAATTTTAGAATCAACAGATTCCAGGGAGATCGTAGTTATGGAACAGAATGCATTTGGAAATGTAAATATCCAGTTTAGCCTGCTATGTCTGTCAAAAGGAAGACAGGCAAGAGAAAGGATGACTTTAATATCATCCCACAAAATACACTTTTATAGTAAAGAGAAATGAGTTATATCCTAATATCAAAATGAGCAGATGTTTAAACACTGCAGGCCAAAGATATGTGTATATAAATATATATAAATGCAGCAGCTAGAAACTGTTAAAGGCAGTCGATTATGGACTAGGGGTGGGGATTTGAAAAAAACACTTCTTACAGAATTTTATTTCCTAACTATAACTATAGATAATTTTAAGGAAATTATTCAAACCTATGCATAGAGATGAAAGAATTAACTGAACACAGGAAGATTCACAGTTGGTTTGTGGTGTTGGTGAGATTATGTATACTTTCCAGCTTTATTTTGACTCAAAGATGCTATTTATAGTATTTATAATTAAGCAAAAATCACAAACTTTGAAAGCTATGACTAAGACTCTGAGTAAATGAAAATAAATTGAGACAAGCATTTACTATAAATGCTCTTTGCAAATACTTATTTGAAGAGAAAAATTAAAACAGATGTTAAAATAATAATGCAAACATCTTCATTCGTTCAGTCTTTCCCAGAAGTGAGTTTATAAAGGAAATGTTTTCCAGGTTTTCATCAGTTGAAGTGCCCTATTTGAGCCGTCCATGTATGGTGTTGTATTCCTGCATATCCACACATCAAGAACGTACACTGATCTATTTCCCTGTATAGTTTTCATTCTTTTTCTACAGGCTCAATACATTTTAGACAATCTATTCCTTTTTTTTTTATTTTAGTTTATTTTTAGTTGTTGAAAAAAATTTCCGCCTCCTCCCCGTTTCCCATTTTCCTTCCCTTCCTCCCCCACTACTCTCCCCCTCCCCCCACTCCATTCCCCCTCCCTCTCAAGACTGCTCGATCTATTCCTTTTTGTGTATTTTCTGTCCTTAAGAGGACAGAAATTCTCCTTCTGCTCCTGATTTGGACCTTGAGGTTTCAGTCCGGTACTCCAATGTGGGTCTCTGTCTCCTTTCATCACCTGATGAAGGTTAATATTCAGGAGGATGCGTATATGTTTGTCTTTGGATTCACCTTCTTATTGAGCACGAGCAAGGAACTCAGGACCACGAGGGGTGCACCCACACACTGAGATAATGGGGATGTTCTATCGGGAACTCACCAAGGCCAGCTGGCCTGGGTCTGGAAAAGCCTGGGATAAAACCGGACTTGCTGAACATAGCGGACAATGAGGACTACTGAGAACTCAAGAACAATGGCAATGGGTTTTTGATCCTACTGCACGTACTGGCTTTGGGGGAGTCTAGGCAGTTTGGATGCTCACCTTACTAGACCTGGATGGAGGTGGGTGGTCCTTGGACTTCCCACAGGTCAGGGAACCCTGATTGCTCTTTGAGCTGATGAGGAAGGGGGACTTGATCGGAGGAGGGGGAGGGAAATGGGAGGCGTGGCGGGGAGGAGGCAGAAATCTTTAATAAATAAATTAAAAAAAATAAAATAAAAATCACAAACAGTAAAAAAAAAAAAGAGGACAGAAGTTAAGTTAACCTTAATTCCTAACTCAAAAGATTTTTAAAATTCTGTATTTTATAATCTGAACTACTTTAAATTAGCACACAGGGTACTGGATATCTCCATGACATTTTTGAAAGTTTACGTGGAATTATTTTTTAATATGGCATGGGGTAGGTAAATGCAAGATACATAATGACAAGGTTTTTTCCATTACCAACTATAAAACATGAATAAAAAATATGATGAAACTGAAATACTGTGTTTGTTGATAAGTGGGCTAGATTCTAAGACTAATTTTCATCACCACATCTTATTATTAATGAAAACTACACATTAATATTTGATTTGTTTAAAACTACTTGCTTACTGCATTGATTTCAGGAGAAACAAATTTTCCAAATATGAGAACTAGAAACTGTAATATGCCACAAGAAAAATGAAAACGCTGTTGGAAAACTTAGGGGGAAATGTGTTTCATTTTTTATTTCCAAGGAAAATCTGTATATTATAAAAGCAAACATTTGTCATACCACCAAGTACAGAGTTCACATTGCAAACTGAACCATTTTCATGACATGTCTGATGATCTAGAAATCAAATAACTTTGAAAGGCTTCAGTCTCCACTGTTCCATGAAAATCATGTTATCATATGTACCACACTATTCCTTTTTTTAAAGGATCAAGTAGAAATTAGACCCAATAATTAACCAATAGTACATCATATCCTATTGCTTGTTTTATAGGATCATAAACACTGTACTTAGATTTAGCACTTGGACATGAAACATGTCTTAACTTTCTGAATATGCTAGAAATAACAAAAACATTTACAATGCTTTAATATTTCTAGTTAATACCATTTATATCAGTAACTGCAATGTTGTAACTTTCAGCATCTCACATAACTAGTCAATGAAGTTGGTTATTTTTAAGGGTTGGGAGTAAGAACAGAAGAACAGGAGATATAAGAATATCAGGTTTCACACTTCTGTTAAATTTTTAAAATAAAAACTGCTTTCTTCGCTGCATCAGAACTATCAGACTTGAAGTATGTTTGTTTGCTTTAATCCCATGACTCGTCATCCACTGGACTGGGAGCTTGTGAAGAAGAAATCCCCGCTGTATTCAAAGTGTTCTTGCCCTGGTAATTCTTTTTTTTAAAAAAGAAAAGAAAGTGAAAGAGACAAGTTATGGCAGTCTTAATATTACATTGTCTGGACTAATAGCAGAGACTCACTTTCTACCCTGTCTATCCCAAGCATGCAATGACTTTCTTATAAAATGATTCTCTTGATAAAAGGCCCATACAAATGTGTAAAGTCTAAATTGTACAAAATAACTCAAGAAAAAAGATTTTTCAAGTCCCTAAGTTTTAGAGAGCAGAAAAATTTAATATTAAACTTCAAGTAAGTATAAATGTTTATTAAGAACACTTCTCTACACCAAAATTTACTGCAAAGAAAAAATAAAAAACCTTGGCATGCCATTAAGACTTATAGCACCCTTGCCCTTGCATCTTGTCTTTTTTTAAATATTTATTTATTTATTATGTATACAATATTCTGTCTGTGTGTATGTCTGCAGGCCAGAAGAGGGCACCAGACCTCATTACAGATGGTTGTGAGCCACCATGTGGTTGCTGGGAACTGAACTCAGGACCTTTGGAAAAGGAGGCGATGCTCTTAACCACTGAGCCATCTCTCCAGCCCCCATTGCATCTTGTCTTAATAATATGGTCAAAATCAAAGAATTCTTTAGAAAGTTTAGAAGATCCCAACAAATACCAGCAAAAAGGAACTGGGGTGTTCAACTATAAACCTCACATACATACATTCTTATGTTATAAATGACATAGATAATTAAAATGATAGCTTTAATTACTGAATAGTATTGCCTCATAGAATCAAGCACATTTTCAAAGGGCAATTAGATACCCATTTCTTAATGTTTCTCAACTAACCTTCCTCGTGTCAACAGATGCAAACACAGTTCCTCTTGTGCTATTACTGAAGCCAGGAGGTACATATGTACTAAAGGCAATTTCTTCTAGCCAAGCAGGAACATCCTGTTGAGCCTTGAGAAAATAAAAACTTCTTATGCAACATGAAATCTCAAAAATTGTAAAACAACAAAGAACTACTCCATTTTAAGTATTTAAAGTTCAACTGTTTAGACTTACATCTGATAGTACTTTAACGAGAGGCTGTGCTAAATGGTTATCAGATTCTGTATCGAAAAAAGAAATTGCTCTGCCAGTATTTCCACAACGCCCAGTACGTCCAATTCGATGAACATATTCATCAATGGTAGAAGGAAGATCAAAATTGATAACATGTTGAACATTTTCAATATCAAGCCCTCTGGCAGCTACTGAAGTAGCAACAAGAACTGGGCACTTTCCACATCGAAAATCTCCAAGAGCTTGCTCTCTCTCCCTCTGTTCCCGATCACTTTTAAAAAAAGAATTTTGCATTAGAGTCACTTTTGAGGAAGTTCATCAAGCAGCATTATTTCAAAAAGTAAAAATGACAGCACATAATATTAATGCCCACTATGCATGCACCAAGTACTATAATAAACCATCAAGCCACCAATCTATCCCCAGTCTTTAGCTGTAACAGCCACCCCATTAGCAGATGGAGTAGGAGACAGCTAAAAGGACCAGAATATAAATCCCAGTAACTGAAAAGTAATTTCTAATCTTAGCATAAGAGTATATTTAATCTACTTGGTTAGAATTATTGCTCAAAAAATATTCTTAGAGTACAACTCCAGAATTCTACATATTCAAAAATTGTTTTAAATCTTCTAATAAAGTATCAATAAAGTTGTGTTAATGTACTTTTTTTTAGCATTCCAACTTCAAAAAAGAAAAGGTCAGAGATTAGATTAAGCATAAGAAAAATCTACATTTAAGAGCCAGAGACCTATGGACCACTCTTGACAAGTTCCCATTCATGAAGAGTTTAAGGCAGACTTTCAGTTTGCCTGTACCTACTACTTAGTTTCTATAAAAACAAAGATTAAAGGGCCAAGGAAACATCCAGTAAAGATGCTTTTCTCCAAGCCTAATAAATTGAATTCTATCTCTGAAACTCATATTTAAGAAGAGAACCAATTCCAAAAAGTACTGACACACACACAAGAATACTAATACAATTTCAAAAAATGAAGAATAATGTACTCACCCATGAATACTTGTAGTTGATATTTTTTCTTGACAAAGAAAAGTTGCAATGAAATCTGCTTTTTTCTTGGTGTCAACAAAAACCATAGTTCTTTCATCACCTAATAAAATCACAAAATTATTAATATCCAAACTATAAAATTTAAAAAGGCAGATAAGAGCAAGAAACTTTGTCTCAGCCACCGCTGTACTGCTAGAGTACAGAAAGAGTGTTTCCTCAACCAATGTTTGCCAAGGAAAGAGACAACTGTTTTCCTATTAGAGGGATTTTAAAAAGGTGTGTTTTCGTAAGCAAATACAAATAACTGCCTGCCATCTCTTAATAATTTCAAGTTTGTCTTGTTCACTTTTGCTTTTTCCATTTCGTACTCTATAAATGCCTGTTACTTCCACAAATAAATTCACTCTTTCACTATGCCCAGAGGGGTGAAGGCATTTACACTAATGACATCTGACCTTGGGCAACTAAACTCTAACATCTATGTGCCAATGCCATCTCTTATTTCAAACCCTTCATTTCCAGAACACAATACAGTTAAAGGTTGGCCTTTTCCCGAGGCTTAACTCATTAAAAAGTATTTACTTGCAAGATAAAGTATTTAACTGGCACAGATAATTCTATACAGGGGTAACTCTACAAAATGCTGAAAAAGAAAGATGGTAAGAGAGTTATAGCCTTAATAGAAGAAAGAATCTTTCTGCTCATGATCACTCTTCCCTACCTCCCTGTCAGCTCACTTTATGACAACTATTTAGCAGCTAGCTGTCACCATTCTAGATATTGGGGAAAAAATAAAGTTCCTGCTATCATTGTGGGCACATAGTAATACATATTAAATCCTAAAACCATCAGCAAAAAGAGTAGAATCTAGAGTTTACTTCTGTTCTAGCTGCTGCTCTATTGCTGTGAAGAGACACCATGACCAAGGCAATACTTATTAAAGAAGATTTAATTCAGGGTTTGCTTACAATGTGTCTCTGAGGATTAGTTCATTATAATGGCAGGAGCATGGCCACATTTAGCATTGGAGCAGTAGATGAGAGCTACATCCCGATTGGCAGGCAAAGAGAGGCTGGGCCTGGAACTGGCTTTTAAAACGTCAAATCCCAGCCCCTAGGGATACACTTCTTCCAACAAGGAATCACTTCCTACTCCTTCTCAAATAATGCCACTCCCTGGTGACTAATACTTCAAATGTATGAGCCTATGGGGGCCAATCTTGTTCAAACCACCACAGCTTTAAAGAAAACAGATGGTATCTGAGCAAGGATAGAACTACTGATAGTGAACTATGCAGATTCTCAGAGAAAGAACATTATAAAACAGAGGGGAAAGTAAGTATAAAGGTTCTGAAACACTTTCTCATGATACAAACAACAAAAATAAAAAAGAGGAGCTGGAGGATGGTTCAGTGGGTAAAGGCACATGCTGGTCTGTTCCCAGCACACATATGGTAGATTACAATCACCCCTAATCCAGTTCCAGGAGATCGAAAGCCCTCTTCTGACCTCAACAAATATCAAGACGTGTACATAGTACATATAAATATATGCAGGCAAAACACTCACATACATAATAATTAGACCTAAAAGAGAAAAACAGGTAACAGGTTCCATTGTGTCCTGGGTATTCTGAGCAGAGGTAACAGCAAGCACAAAAGCACTAAGGCAGAACTGTGGCTGGATATTTGAAGTAGAATAATGAACAAAGCATGGTTGGAGGACAGCGAACAAGGGAAAGACAGGATGTCAAAGAAGTAATGGAGGACATCACATTTTGAACAGAGATGTGCTGTGACCTTTAACTTAGTAGTTAAAGGAATATATGCATGCATACAGATGCATGCGTGTCTGGTTAAGACAAGACCTTACTATGTATCCCAGGCTGGCCTCAACCCCTCAATCCTCCTGTCTCAGCCACCCGAGTGCTGAGATTTTAAGCATGCACCACTATACCCAGACACGTATGATGGAAGAACCAAGAGGATTTTGCTATAATATCAGAAGTATAATTATGGAAAGAAATAAGAAATTACTTTTGCATCTAAGCAGCTGGAAGAATAAAATTACCATTAACTAATAAAACAAGGCTGCTATTTTAAAAACCTGTTTTGGGATTGGGAAGATGACTCAGTTGGTAAAGTGCCAGTCACGCAGGCATGATGTAAGCTGAGCTCAGATCCCCAGCATCCATGTAAAACACTAGGCACAACAGTATATGCCTGTACCTCAGCATAGGGGAGATGAAGACAGCAGGATGATCACTTGGGATCTCTGGCCAGCCAGTCTAGCCAAAGAGGTTAAGTAAGCTCCAGGTTCAGTGAGACCCTGCCTCAAAAAATAATGTGGAGTGGGCAAGGGCACTTTATCAAATGAGCCATGCACCCAGATTGCTAAAATCTGTACTTCTATGTTAACTCCTTAGCCTGCAACTGAAGTAGCAAAACTGAAGATATAAGCTCTGTGTGCATTTATAATTCAGAAAGGGCTTTATCATTCTGAAATCACTGAGTTAGTGCCCAATGGGAGTATTAATACAAGTCTCCAAAAAAAAAAAAAAAGCTCTATTCTGACTGGTTTATAAAGATGGATAAAGTAGAAAAATGCCATTGAAATATCCCTAAAATTCCAAGAAAGTAAAAAAGTTAACTTCTTATAAAGATGAATAAAGTAGAAAAATGTCATTGAAATATCCCTAAAATTCCAAGAAAGTAAAAAAGTTAACTTCTTATAAAGATGAATAAAGTAGAAAAATGTCATTGAAATATCCCTAAAATTCCAAGAAAGTAAAAAAGTTAACTTCCTAACACTTTTCAGGTAAGTTGTGAACATTTTGAGCTAAGTTTTCATAATTAAGTGAAATCTTTCATGAGAATGATTTATTTATTTTGGTTTTTAAAAGTACTGTATTTTTCCTCTTAAACAAGGTTAATATTATATAAACATGTATCAAATAAGATAAAATATTCCTTCATGATTAAGTTATGAACATGTAACTCTTCATTAAGCTACACTGAGTCATTATTGAACAATATTTATAAGTATACTATAATGAAAATCATTCTAAAAAACTTCAAGTAACCTAAAACAGTAGACAGTGCTAGGGAGCATACTATCTCTCAGGGACTACAGGACAGCTCAGTCAAGGTGTTTGGCACTGATTCTGAGAGCTTGAGTCTGATCTGGAATACTGTGGAAGAAGAGAACCAATTCCTACAAGAAGTTTTCTGATCCTCATACATTCTCCATTGCATGTTGTGTAAACACATGTACACACACATATGTAAATAACTATTTAAAAAACATTGCTCATTATTACAACTGACTTCTCATCCCGCTGTCTCAAAACTGACATTCCAGCTGAACAAGAATCATTAAACTAGGAGAATAAGTGTGGAGGGAAAGTGTAGTACATAAACACACTACAAGATGATCATGCCAGTTATTTTCAGTCTCATAACAAAGCTACTTCAAGCAAACACAAAACAAAATTTAAGAACAAAAATAATTTGGAGGAAGACAGAGAAATTATTTTCATGGGTTAAATTATGAAGGACAGAATTTGATTCTCAAGTCCCCTCCAGCCCTGAAACACTTTTAACTTCATGAATATGAGAAGACTCTTTAATGGGCAAGAAATGAGGAACCAGAAACACAAAATCAGCAAGAGTTCACATTGTTTTTTCTTTGAAAACTGGGTCTTGCTATTAGGCCATGGTGGTCTTGAACTCACATACCACCTGCCTGACCTTCATGAAAGCTGGGGTCCCAGAGCTGTTTACATGTACAGACTGAAGAATTAGCTTTCAACATAGTAACAGTGCTAAAAACATGTGTTATGTTACCTTTAAACCTTTCTAGTTTTCTAAAATACACACACACACACACACACACACACTTCTGTTGAAATACTTTTTAGCCAAGTACTGGTAAACTAAGTCTCAAATACCTTCTATATTCAACTTATATGACATAAAGGAATACTTTTATACAATTTATAATACAAACTAAGTCATAGTCATCTATAAAGTATTCACAGAAAAATATTTATTAAAATTATTATACAAAATGGTGATTTTAAAAAATATTTTAAAATTCAAAATCGCAACAAAATAATTATATTAAAATAAGGTACCTATGTTTCGTAGGATCTCAACAAGTTTTTCTCTTTTTGAATACTGGCCAATTTGAAGAATGGTCTGCTGAACATCTCTGCAAGCTCCTCCCACTTGTCCAACAGCAACAAACAAATAATTTGACTTTAAAAACTCCCCAGCCAACCTTAAAAGAGAAAATATTACTCCTTAGCTTATCCTTGTCCATTTGTGCTCATGGTGTTTCAGTCCTGTGAATGTAACTCACAGCAACACAAAGACTGGTAAGATGGTTACTTATGCTACCCAAGTATTATTCTCAAAGACCAGGATAAAATGTTAAGACTTTTAAAATATACAATTACTAACAAAAACATCTGTGCCAAACTATGAACTCAGGAAGTTTCAGTGAACTGTAGAGGACGGGGGATGGATCTCAACTGGTAGAGGGCTCCTTAGCATGTCCAAAGCCCTGGGTTTGATTAGCAGCACCACATATACACCAGGTTGTGGTGGTGCATGCCTGCAATCTCAGCACTCAGGAGGTAGAGGCAACATCATCTCTAGCTACACAGCGAGCTTAAGGCCAGTCTGGGCTATATGAGACCCTGTCTCATGAGACGGAAGCAGGGAGGAAGGAGGAGGGATTGAAACATAAACCTAAAGCACAAATTCGATTCTAATCTCATTTTTTATGAATACTTGCTATTGCTCAGATTTATTTTCTGAAATATTACTTGTTAAGTTACTCTTCTTTAAATAAATGGTTTTAAGTAAACCAGATTACAGGTCAATGTTTTTCATGTCACAATACATATAGAAAAATGAGACCTAAGGGCCATGCAAAACTAGGCTATAAGGTCGCCTCAAAAGTTGACACACAGTAATTTACTATGTGAATGCAGCTGAAAGTCATGCTTTATATCACCCACAAACACAACCCTGTGGAGACACTGCCAATTAAGGCAGCTGAGCTTTTAGGGTTAAGAAGGGAGAGTACAAGTCTTTAGTAAATGCTACCCTTTTGTGTAGGTAAGGTAGCAGTCCAATGTTTTCTAGTTGTTTCCTTGAATGTAACAAAATAGCTCAGACTCAGCATACCCAAAATCTAGAGAAGTTATTGTTTCTTCTTGCTCCTTATTTATTCTCTTGCCATAAAAACACAACTTTTTTTTCTTAGTTTCCAGTTTCTTCCAATTATGTTTTTAAATTTTTTTTGGAATTATAATTACATCATTTCCCCTTTCCTTTTCCTCCCTCAAATCCTCCCATGTACTACCCCCACATTGCTCCCTTTCAAATTTATGGCCTCTTTTTAATCATTGTTACATAATGCATATTCATTCTTTTCTTTTTGGGTTTTTTTTTTTTTTTTTTTGGTTTTTCGAGACAGGGTTTCTCTGTGGTTTTGGAGCCTGTCCTGGAACTAGCTCTTGTAGACCAGGCTGGCTCGAACTCACAGAGATCCGCCTGCCTCTGCCTCCTGAGTGCTGGGATTAAAGGCGTGTGCCACCACCGCCCGGCTTGCATATTCATTCTTAATACAACCTAATCAGTCCGTGTGATGGTACTTGTATACATATGTTTTCAGAAGTTTTTTTTTTTTTATTTTTTTGAGACAGGGTTGCTCTGTAGCTTTGGAGCCTGTGCTGGAACTAACTCTTGTAGACCAGGCTGCCTCTGCCTCCCAAGTGCTGGGATTAAAGGTGTGTGCCACCACTGCCCAGCAGAAGGTTATTTTTTAATATACCTTCTTCAAGAGTTAATTCCCTCTTCTCCCAGGCAATTGAAAATTTTAGTATCTGTTACCCCTTCACTTGCTTAAGCATTCATGACACATGGTATTGGGAACACAAAGATGAATACATTGGTATCAACCTCAAATAGGACAAAGTTCTATCAAATTTTTTTAATTCAGGATTAGAATATTAACATTTACTGCACAGAATATTAAACTCCAAGAAAAGTACAATGCTTTCTATAGTTTCTTCCACAAAAGAAAAGATATGAAATTAAATTCATGTATTAGAGCCTTTAAAACTTTTAGACTTGCTGGGCGGTGGTGGCGCACAGGCAGGTGGATCTCTGGGAGTTCAAGGCCAGCCTGGTCTACAAGAGCTAGTTCCGGGACAGGCACCAAAGCTACAGAGAAACCCTGTCTCGAAACCCCCTCCCCCCCAAAAAAAAACCTTTTAGGCTTGATCCATACGAACAGCAAGTAGGGAAAGTTATATTTGAATAATTTTTAAACAACTGGCAATCCGAATATTTTTCAAAGACTGAAAATTAAAGGAATGTAAAGGAGGTATTACCATGATTCAAAGTAGTTTGGCTTCAAAAGACTAAGGTACATAAGCCCAAATAAGAAAAGACAGACATAAAGGGGAAAAGTAGGTTCAACTTTGGACCTCAACAAGAGTCGCTACTAACTTGTTTCTAAGAAAAAAATACCTCACCAAAATTAAGTATGAAACTCTGTGGTTACATAAAAAATCATGTGTACAAGAATAACTTGAGTTACAGGTAGAAGTGGAAGCCAACGGCTGCTGTTAGGACTAAAGACATATGCCACCATATGCACCTTTAATTGTTTTAAATAAGGAAAATATTTACCTTTGGATTTCTTCTGGAAAAGTTGCACTGAATAAAAGGGTTTGGCGCTGTTCTTTTGATGGCATTCCAGGACAAGAAATTAACTTCTTCATTTCTGGTCCAAAACCCATATCCAACATTCGGTCAGCTTCATCCAATACTAAGTACTTGACTTGTTTGAGACCAATCTTTAAGGATATTTTCAAAGACAAGAACAGAAAATGCATACTAGTTTATATTGAGCTAAAATACACTCCACAATTTCAACTGTTAAAAGTATTCTTAAGGGCTATACTGGCTAGTTTTATCAATTTGACACAAGCTAGAATCATTTGGGAAGGGAACCTCAGTTGACAAAACGCCTGTGAGGCACTTTCTGAATTAATAATGTAAGTGGGAGGGCCCAACTCAGTGTATGGGGCCATCTCTGGTCTGATGGTCCTGGGTTGCTATAAGGAAGCAGGCTGAGTCATGAGGAGCAAGCCAGTAAACAGCATTCCTCTATGGCCTCTGCTTCAGCTTCCTGCCATGCCTTCAGTCGCTGCCCTGACTTCCTTCAATAATAACTATGATGTTGAAACCTTTCCTACCCAGTTTGGTGTGAACACAGTGTTTTATCACAGAAACAGAAACCTTATCTAGTACAGGGAAAATCAAGGCATATAATGATAACTGTTAGGCTCATCATAGATATTAGATAATACTAATATATCTGATATAAACTTTTTTTTTTTCAAGACAGGGTTTTTTGTGTAGCCCTGGCTACCCTGGAACTCATTCTGTAGACAACGCTACACCCAAACTCAGAGAAAAAGACCTGCCTGCTTCTACCTCCCAAGTGCTGGGATTAATGGCACGCACAACCACTGCCCAGTCTGATATAAACTTTTACTACTGATGTATAAAAATATTCCATAAATTAAGTTTAAAAGAATCTAAAGTATCTACAGCAATATTTTACCCTACAACTTCTGCAATTAACTGAATATTCTATTATCTCCAATTTCTAACCTATTAGGCACTATCTATATGTAGTTTGAAATACAAATAATTGTGAAATAATTTTATTATTTTAAAACATAAGTTGCAACATATAGCTAACAGTTACTTATATTGGACATCATGGATCCATATTGTATTATATGGAAAAATCAAAATATTTAATGTAAAAAATAAAATCTAACAACATGAAATACTGAAAATATATTAACTTGAGACAGGGTCTCACTGTGTAGCTCTGGCTGTCCGTGAACTACAAGAGACTTTGATACTACCACAAAGATGGTTTAAGATATGGGTTTTTCTAGTTATCTTTTTTAAAAGTGCCTTTACCAAAAAAGAACATGTTTTAAGTACCCCCTTTAGAGAACACAAAATAATCGATTACAGTTCATTAACATGAACTTAAAGTATTAAGTGATGTAATAACTGGGTATGAGATTCTCAAATGAGTATCTAGCCCTAAAATCTCTTCTTAAAAGACCTGAAAATAAACAGCTCACACTACTACCATTCACATGCTTTAACAGAACACACTACTACCATTCACATGCTTTAACAGAGAACAAACTATTGATGCCCCAAAGAATGTGTCTTAGGAAAAAACTATTTCACCAAAACATGTATGGACTTTGTAAAAATATTCATTGTATTTTCTTCCATATAACAAAATATTGCTGGAAACAGATACAGGATCTGACCCTAATGCTATTGTTTACTAGAGATAACTAAGGGATTTTAAGTAATTAATCTCACTGTTTGTTTTCCCAAGTATAAAATAGAAAATACTATGCCCTGTTGGAATTATCCTGACAATTATGAAAATGAATTCACAGGACCTGATACAAGCAGAAACATAAACAGTGCTCTGGGAAATACACCTTTCATATAACACACCCATCACTGTAACATGTTGTTACCTTCCTGAAGCTTACCTTTTCTTTACCTATGATATCCATCAGCCTCCCTGGTGTAGCACATAGTATGTTACAGCCTTGTACTATCTGTCGGATTGAATGCCCAAACTGGGTTCCCCCATATATGACAACAGCTCTTACACAAGTCCTACAGATAAGAGAAATGCCATTTTCCAGTTATTTGGAAATTATACATTTGTTTCTAACACTTTATGAAATAAGACCAATAAAGGAAAAAACATTCAACTATCTAAAATATATTAAATTTCATTGAGAAAGGAAAGTTTATAATGTCAAAAGGCAAATAAAACAAATCAGGAAGGACTATTTTGCAATCTGTCTGATTAAATGGCTGTTAACAATGAAAAATACCAGCATTCTCCTTCCTCTTCAATCACCCACTCACAAAACAACACAAACAGCCATGGTGAGCTCTCCCTTAGCACCTGTACAGCAGCACTCTCAAGTACTATGTAAGCTGCCAGCAGAGAGGAAGCTTCCTAGCCAGTACCTACTTGATTCCTCTATGGCCTAAGACCATAGTCTGTGGTGTTTTCAGCAATTATCATACATTTTACTGCAATGTAACCAAACCTCTACTGCAGGACATTTAGGTATTTTTCAGTATTTTACTACAGCGATAATAAACATCCAAATAGAAATATTCATCTTTGGGTACAGACATTATCTAAATTTATCAAGTTTATTTTTTGTTTTTGAAAAATGTTTCTTGGGCTGGAGAGATGGCTCAGAGGTTAAGAGCATTGCCTCCTATTCCAAAGGTCCTGAGTTCAATTCCCAGCAACCACATGGTGGCTCACAACCATCTGTAATGGGGTCTGGTGCCCTCTTCTGGCCTGCAGGCATACACACAGACAGAATATTGTACACATAATAAATAAATAAATAGAGTTTCTCTTCTTTTATTCAATTTAAAATCAGATACCAATATAATACACTAAGGATTAGCAAGAAACAAACACTAATCTAGCAATTTACACCTAACTTTTGCAAATGGGCTATGAAGTTTGACATTTAAAGAGATTTTAAAAATCATTTTAAATTTATGAAAATGAAAGGCTAGTGGTTACATAAAAGAAGCACTAAAAAACACTAAATTTCAGTGGATAAACTATAGCTAACAAAAGGATAATTCATGAAAAAGCAAGCGCTCAAAAAGTAGTTCTATTTGATGATATGAACATGTGAAACAGAAGATACCTATGTTAAACACTGGCAAACTTTTCAACGTTCCGTTTTTTCCCCAGCATATTATTTTTATTAATTATTTGGGAATTTAATACACCCCATCACACTTGCTTCCCATTCTTCCCAGGTCCACCCTTCCACCTTTGTATTCTACTTCACCCCTTAAAAAACACACCAAGTCCAACTTATGTTGCCATACCCACTGGAGCATGGTCAAACTCCCAGTGACTCGCCCCTTAAAGATAATGAAGTCCTCCCCCTGCTCCCACCCACCAGAAGCAATCAACTGAGGAGAGCTACATTTTAGCATCTTTATCAGTTTTTAAGGACTCTCTTTATAGCTTCAAGTCTGGATGGTGGTTATCAGAGAAACCTTCAGTGTCTGTCATTCTTTTGTTATGACTCTGCGGTCATCGATACCTCAGCATAAGAAGCTTCCTGGCCCACAGTAGCCAGCAGCATGGGTCATCGACTTCCACGTGGTTTCAAGTGGCAGCATGGATGGTGGACTTCAATAAGGTCTCTGCAGCAGCAAGATCATAGATGCAGGCCACAGAAATCTTTTGAGGAGGTTTAATTCAGAAAACGAACCATTCTTATCTCATACATCTTCTTGTTGTTTAGGGTCAGTATAGTTGGGCAGTATGATCAAGGGCAGGACCTTCTTGAGCTCCAGACTGTTATAGCCTAATTATATAATCAGTTCTGATAATGGACTAGTTAATGATATACTTGCTACAATGTAATAGACTACAGTGTGTGATTTCTGAGACTGCTATTTTATAAAACTACTGCAGCCTCCTATATGCTCTTTCACTGAGAACTTAATCTAGAGTAAATCGCCTGCCATTTCCTAATGAGAAATAAGCATCTCTATGGGCAGCAGCACAACCAGCTCACTGAACCACTACAAACTCAGCTGGTATCCCCTAAGAGACAACACACTAGAAACACACAATGAAACTGCATGACATTATTTTTTATTTTTTTATTCATTTTATTGAGCTTTTCTCTGCTCCCCTCCCCTTCTCTCTCTCTCCTCCCCTTCTACCCTCTCCCACGGTCCCATGCTCCCAATTTACTCAGGAGATCTTTTCTTTTTCTACTTCCCGTGTAGATTAGATCCATCTATGTCTCTTCTTAAGGTCCTTTATGCTATCTAGGTTCTCTGGGATTGTGAATGGTAGGTTGGTTTTTCTTTGCTTTATGTCTAAAAGCCACTTAGGAGTTAGTACATATGAAGTACATATGATATTTGTCTTTCTGGGCTTGGGTTACCTCACTCAATATGATGCTTTCTAGATCCAACTATTTGCCTGCAAATATCAAGATGTCATCATTTTTTTCTGCTGTGTAGTACTCCATTGTATAAATGTACCACATTTTCCTTATCCATTCTTCAGTCAAGGGGCATTTAGGCTGTTTCCAGGTTTTGGCTATGACAAACAATGTTGCTATGAACATAGTTGAACACGTTCTTGTGGTACGATCGAGCATCCTTTGGGTATATACCCAAAGGTGGTATTGCTGGGTCGTGAGGTATGTTGTTTCCTAATTTTCTTGAGTAATCCAAAGGAGCTGTACTAGCTTGCACTCCCACCAGCAATGGAGGAGTGTTCCCTTTACCCCACATCCTCTCCAGCATAAGCTGTTATCAGTGTTTTTGATCTTGGCCATTCTTACAGGTGTAAGATGGAATCTCAGACAGTTGTTTTGATTTGCATTTCTCTGATGGCTAAGGGTGTTGAGAATTTCCTTAAGTCCTTTGGCCATTTTAGATTCATCTATTGAGAGTTCTGTTTAGATCTGTACCCTATTTTTTATTGGATTATTTCTTTTTTTGATGACCAATTTCTTGAGTTCTTTGTATATTTTGGCGATCAGCCCTCTGTCTGATGCAGGGTTGGTGAAAATCTTTTCCTATTCTATAGGCTGCCATTTTGTCTTGTTGACCGTGTCCTTGGCTTTACAGAAGCTTTTCAGTTTCAAGAGGTCTCATTTATTAATTGTTTCTCTCAATGTCTGTGCTACTGGTGTTATATTTAGGAAGTGGTTTCCTGTGCCAATGCGTTCAAGTGTACTTCCCACTTTCTCTTCAATAGGTTCAGTGTGGCTGGCTTTATGTTGAGGTCTTTGATCCATTTGGACTTGAGTTTTGTGCATGGCGATAGATATAGGTCTATTTTCATTCTTCTACATGTTGATATCCGGTTATGCCAGCACCAATTGTTGAACATGCTTTCTTTTTTCCATTTTATATTTTTTGCTTCGTCAAAAATCAGGTGTTCGTTGGTGTGTGGATTGATACCTGGGTCTTTGATTCAGTTCCATTGGTCTTCCTGTCTGTTTTAATGTCAATGCCAAGCTATTTTCAGTACAGTAGCTCTGTAGTAGGTGGCATGACACTTATTAACTATCTAGGCCTTATAGGCATCAAGAGATAACAGAACACCAAATGTCTATAAGAGTAAAGTGAAACTGAACTCATATATGACTGATAAAAACGTATGTTTGTGTGAGCTTTAAAATAAATTCTTGTTAAAATTAAAATTGATAAGTCACTCCACAGATGCTTTAAAGAGAATAAATAACCTGAATAGAGAGGTACACATCCATAGTCCCAGTTACTCAGAAGGTTGAGGGCTGAGGGAGGATGATCATTTCAGCTAGGAATTCAAAGCCAGCTTGAGCAAAAAGCAAACCTTTGTATCACTTGATAAAAATTAAAAACCATTAAAATTACCCCCTCTGCCCCTCCATGTGTATGTGTACGCGCACACATGCACAAGCATGCGTGTGTGTGTGTGTATTCAGAAGCCAGGGGTCAAAGTCAGGTATTTCCCTTAGTCAGAGACTCCTTGTACCTTATTTTTTGAGACTGGATCTCTCACTGATCCCAAAGTTTACCAGTTCAGCTAGACTGGCTGCCAACAAGGCCGTGGGAGTCAGCTGTCTCAAGCCCACCCTCCAGCATTGGCACTAACAGATGCACACTGCTGCACCCACCTTTAACATGAGAGCTAGGAATTTGAACTAAGATCCTCATGCTCACATAAGAAGCACTTTCACCAACTATGTCATATTTCTCCAGTCCCCATAAAATCTTTATACAGCAAGACATTCATTATGCTTTTACTTACAACAATCCAAAGATTGCATATATATACAAACCAACCTAAAGTCATTAAAATATAATTTGATTGTACAAAAGAAATCTTCCACACTGTAAATCTAAAAGTAGGTAATTACCAGGGACATTCAAAGTTCCTTTTGTAAGCCTCTTTAAAGTTTTTAAAAGAGTATATATTTCTATGCATGTGTATTTGCTTATGTATGGACTGCATGGGTGTAGTGCCAGCAGAGGTCAGAAGAAAGATCCCCTAGAGCCGGAATTACAGGTAGTTGTGAGCCACCCTGTGGGTGCTGAGAGCCAAATGTCTTCTGCAAGAGTAATCAGTGCTCTTACCCTCTGAATCATCTCTCCAGCCCCACCCAAATTTATTTTTAAACATACACTATAAACTACCTGAAGGGCCAGTGAGATGGCTCAGTAGGAAAAAGCCTTTGCTCTCAAGCTGAAAGATCTGAATTGATCCCTGGAATCCACGTGGTAAAAAGGGAAGAGAATAGACATTTCCAAGCTGCCCTCTAACCTCCACAACATACACAATAAATATTCATAAATAAATGCAGAAATAACATATTAAAATCTTAACTACCAAAAAAGCCAGGTGTGGTGGCAGATACCTATAATCTGACTACCTGGGAAACAGGGAAAATTTCAATTTAGACTAAGCTTGGTAACTTAGTAAGCTCCCATTTCAAAATTTAAAAAAAGATGTAGCTTAGTGACAGAGTAGTTGCCTAGCATGTGCTAGGTGCTTGATTCAATCCTTAAAATCAGAAAAGACAAGCTACTGAATATCAGTATTTATATTTTCTTATTTTTACATGTTATCTAATTTTACTTCTAAAAATAAAAAGGATTCTATAAACAAGAATTATAAGAAAATATGCTTCACTTAATTATACTAAAAATTACATGAGTATATTATTACTGAGTTCACAAATAATTGAGAAACTTTCTAAGAACTATTTTAAGAGTAGCATTCCAGATGTACTTACCCAAAAGAAAATTTTCTGGCTTCCAAATAAATTTGGTTAATCAGTTCTCGAGTTGGGGCTACAATAATACACTCTGGTTCCTGTAGTTCTTTAAAGCGACTAGCAGTTATTCCATCCCGCATCATATGAGCCAAAATAGGCAAAAGAAAAGCTGCCTAGAAGTTAAATTGATTAATTTACAATATATCATTTTTATCCTGGCCAAAGTTACTCCTATTTTATAGCCTTTAGGGATGTCCTTCCCTCATGCTTGTAGAGTTATGATGAGAGCTTAGCATAACTCTTATTTCAAGGAGTTAACCAGGTCTTCATAGTCATGTTACACAGCATAGCGTGCTTGATAAAATTCATCTAGCTCAACAAAATGTTAGTCGTTTAAGAAAATAAACGTATTAGTCTATCCTAAATAGAGTGATGGTGTGGGAGAAAGGTCTGTATTCTGTCAATTATATTTTAAATAAATGTTGATTAGCCAGTAGCCAGGTAGAAAGTATAGCTGGTATAGGTGGGATAACCAGATAGGAAGTAGAGGCGGGTCAATGAGAACAAGAGGATTCTGGGAAGGAGGAAACCCATTCCTCTGGAGTCACGGCCCAGACACAGAAGAAGCAAGATGTGACTGCCTCACAGAAAAAGGTACCTAGCCATGTGGCTAACATATACTAGAATAATGAGCTAATATAAGTTATAAGAGTTAATAAAAAGCCTGAGCTAATGGGCCAATCAGTTTATATCTAATGTAGACCTCTGTGTGATTTATTTGGGACTTAACAATTGCAGGAACTGGGCAGGACAGGAAAACCCCAACAACAGAGTGACATTAATTATACAGAGGAATGTAGGCATAATCTCATAAATTGCTACATTTAAAAGTTATTCTACATGAGTCTTTGAGAGGGTAGTAATAAATAGTAGTAATAGAGGGTAGGAAACAGTAGTAATATCACAGGTTCTTCAAGCATTGGGTTATATAGACCCATTTTCCTCAGGAGCATACAAACAAATTCTTAATGAGATATTTTCAACTCTAGTTCAAGAATACCTTAAGAGGACACACCATGACCAAGTTCATTTCACTACAAAGGATATAATGTTGGTTCAACATAGAAAATTTGTAAATATCTAAGACCTCTACAATGAAAGCTTTAATATACAGACAACTGTCAAGAGAGTGGCAGAACATTTACAAAATGGCTGTGATTCTAAAGTACCTACAGAGGAAACACAATTCTCATCAAAATTTCAATGACATCTTCAATGACTTAGACAAATAACTTCCTAAAATTTATACTGAAATGTAGCAATATTAAGTAGACAGAACAATGCTTGTGGCAACATAACACATGTTCTCACAGAACCACTGTAACAAAATCCATAAAGTACTGATACAAAAAGCAGACAAGTAGTCATAGTACCAAAATCCATATAGTACTGACACAAAAGCAGACACGTAAACCATGTAGAACAGAAAACACAGAAAAAAATCCACATGACTATAGCTACCTAACGTCCTACAAAGCTATCAAAACATACATTAGAAGACAAGATTATTGAACAAGCAATGTTAGAGAAACTGAATATCCACATGTAGAATATAGGCCCATTATATCTCACACTGCACAAAAATGAGTTAGAAAATGAGTCAAGTCTCTAGTGTAAAACCTGAAACTTTGCAACTGCCTTAAGATCTGATAATATAGAAAACCACTCCAAGAATTCACAACTACATGAAGTTACAAGGTAGTGTGGGAAGTCCTTCTGTATATGTGTTGCTTTTATTAGATAATGAATAAAGAAACTGCTTTGGGCCCTATAGCAGGGCAGAACAGAGATAGGCAGGGAAAACTAAACTGAATGCTGGGAGAAAGAAGGCAGAGTAAGGAGACATCATGTAATCACCGCTGGAGACAGACAAGCTGGAACCTTGCTGGTAAGCCACAGCCACATGGTGATACACAGATTAATAGAAATGGGTTAAATTAAGATGTAAGAGCTAGTCAATTAGAAGTTAAAGCTAATAGGCCAAGCAGTGATTTAATTAATACAGTTTCTGCATGGTTATTTCAGGAGTCTGGGCGACCAGGAAATGAACAAGTGGCCTCCTACAACAACAATGCTTTTGAACAGCCTACAGAATGAAGAAAAAATAAAGAGTCTGACAGATATATACCAATTGAGGGATTATTATCTAGACGATAAAATTTTCAAATGTTAACCCCTACAAGCTTCAAATCAATAAATGGGTAATGAACTGAACAGATCATCCCCCAAAGAATAAAAAATGGCTAAGAAACTTAAAAAGTGTTCAATATCCTTTGCTATCAGATAAATGCAAATTAAAATTACTTTCAAATTTTATCTCATCCAAGTGGAAATGACTATCAAGAGAACAAACGACCCTTACATATTAACTGGTGACAATGTGAGCTGGTGGCACCACTACGGAAATCGGTATAGGTATTTCTCAAAAAAGAAACAAAGGAAAATAGCACAACAATTTAAGCTCTATTACTACTGGGTACATCCTAAGGACTCTAACAAAAGTACTTAAAACATCTATGTTTAATGCTACACTATTCAGAACAGCTAAGAAACAGGACCAGCCTAAATATCCATCAACAGATAAGTGAATCAAGAAAATGTGTTAATATAAGAAATGGTATTTCATTCAATCATAAATAAAATCATGACATTTGTCGAAAGAGAGATTCAATTAGAAATAATTATGTGAGCCGGGCGGTGGTGGCGCACGCTTTTAATCCCAGCACTCGGGAGGCAGAGGCAGGCGGATCTCTGTGAGTTCGAGACCAGCCTGGTCTACAAGAGCTAGTTCCAGGACAGGCTCCAAAACCACAGAGAAACCCTGTCTCGAAAAACCAAAAAAAAAAAAAAAATTATGTGAAATACTCCAGAGTCAGAAAGACAAATAGAACATTTTATCTCAAAACTTAATACAGATCTTGCATGTGAGTATAACATGGAAACTATAACCATTAGAAGGAAGAATGAGATCTTAATGAGAACAAGCAGGAGGTTTGGAAAGGGTAAATGAATATATGACATGAAGGCTTATGTAAGAGAGGACTGAAGGGAAGAAGCGGACCAGCAAGGGGGGAAGAGGGAAGTATGGTGGGCAATCCAGGAAAGCAGTAACAGCAGAGTATAACATATGTATACACACTATAATAAAACACATTACTTTACATGCTAATTTCAATTTTAAAAATCACTTCTTCAAGGCAGCTGTAATTACAAGTATCTGTTCAAGTAGAAGCGGCCCTTTCTGTCCCATGGCCTTGCCTTTCTGCTTTAACGGGATGACTTTTGCCTCTCTGGCTTGCTATGAAGCCTATTGTAAGCATGTATAACTGTAACTGAACATTTAGAACTAGATGATCCTCAATGAGTTATATAGACCCAAGAGCATGATAAAAACAAACCTACATAGACAATATTCAAGCTATATAAAAAAAGGAAGCAAAGTAAACAGAAGTGCATAAACACTAAGAAAATTCCAAATCAGAAGACCATGAATAATCTTCCAGCCAACTGAAGAGATTCGAGCTACTTAGGAAACATCAAATATTTATTTTTCTTTTGTGTGTGTGTGTGTGTGTGTGTGTGTGAGAGAGAGAGAGAGAGAGAGAGAGAGACAGAGAGAGAGAGACAGAGAGAGAGAGACAGAGAGAGAGAGAGACAGAGACACGGGGGGGGGCACGAACACAAAAATTCAATAGAGGGCTGGTTGTATTTGGAAAGATGACTTACAGTCTTCCCAGACCCTGTTTGAGCACAAGCCATCAGATCTCTTCCTGCTAACACAATAGGGATGCTGTATTTCTGCACAGGAGTGAGCTTGGTATAGCCAGCTTTAGCAATGTTGTTATTCAGTGTTTGACAAAGATTAGCTTCTTCAAAAGTCTAAACAGAAAAGACAGCAATGATTAAATGATGAATTGCACACATCATATGCTCACCATTTCGTAAACATATTTCATTTCAGTAAGCTTTAAACTTTGATTCCATTTTACATACAAACCAATATACCCTACTATAAATAATAACCTATTTTCATGACATAATAGAAGTATTTCCCATAGACTTCGCTTACAAATACCATTTTCTGCCCCCTTAAACCCTGTGAAATACAGAAACTCTGATAAGTAACAAAGGCTCATTGTGAGGATAATTATTAACAGGGAATAGAAGACATCTGCTATTCTCCATACAAAATCCACTTCCCAGGGTTGAAGAGATGACTCAGCTGTTAAGAGCACCAGTTGCTCTTTGAAAGGACATGAGTTCAATTCCCAGAATTCACATACAGGTTTACAACCATCTGTAACTCCAGTTCCAGGAGCTCTGATGCCCTCTTCTGGTCATCAGAGCCACCAGGCAGGCATGTAATGCACAGACATGTGCAGTCGAAGCAGTCATACACATAAAATCCACTTCCTCACATACTTAGGATGTGAACATTTTTCACCTCTAGAAAAAGTAGCCTTTTTAGTAAATTTAAACAAAGTTCCTAATATGGTACACAAAGTAGAGATGAATTCTCGCACTTTCTCTTGATAAAGTAATTCTACTGAAAATGATAGTCAATGACTCTAACATTCAATCAAGGGTCCTAGATACTAAAAGGTAACTTTTCTATTGACAGCAATGCAATTATACCATATATTTATATCAATATAAAAATACACTGACCAAAATTGCTGGTGGTGCATCATGTCCAGATACTTCTACAAGTATGGTATCATACTTATCAAAGTTTATTCCTGTCTGATAATGTGCGAAAATGGAGTCCTCATCCTCTGGTGGAGGAGGGGGTATATATGTCACTTTTGGACCTTAAAATAGAAATGGAAAATAAAATTTACGTACTAGAAATACAAACAAGAGAAAATGACAAAAAACAATTAGAAAATACTGTGGAAATCACTACTAAAATTTTCTTGCTCAAATGTTTTAAATTTAACCACACTACTGGCATAGTCAATAGATAACTGCAAACATTGATGTACCCTGAATGTCACTGCTCTCTCCTCCTTCAGCTTCTGACTTCCAAGAATCTTTAAGGGATAAAACCAAAAAGATAAATGTTAATGGAAGAGTAAAATAAACAGTACCCCAAAGATAAAAACTTTTTCCAAAATAAAACTTACTCTTTCCAGAGCCTGTTACTACTTCTTCATTCAAACCTTTGTAACCACCTAGTAAAGAAATTCAGATTGATCGTCAATTAAGACACAAAGCAATGAGTGTCTTTGTTCTCACTATCCTCAAAGAGGGCACATCTTAAAATAGCAAACATCTTTAAAGTGTCTTACAAATGGTGTTTGAGACAGAGACTGTAGGCATAGCTCAGTTCTAACAGTGTTCATTTAATGTGCTCAAGTCCCTGGGTTTGTTGATTCCTGACAGGAAAAGAAAGGAGGAAGAAGAGGGAAGAAATGGGGAGGGAGGTAGCAAGAAAGAATCTAACACATTTTAAGGTTGTCTGGTATTCAACATGATGGTTTTATGTAGATTATAGACTGCACCACTGTTTTTCCATAAGCCATGAGATCTTTTCCCTGGTCAGCAAGGGAATAATTTTCTAAAAGGAACTAAAATGGAAGGTTTGCTAAGAGGACTAAGATTCTAGCCATATTCATGGATATGATACACTGAAATAAGGAACGAATTTAACCAAGAAAAAAGGAACATGGGTCAAGTTTTCCAGAGTTTTCCCCTACTGGTGTTAGGGTTCTGACAGCACAAGTATTTACCAGAGTTGTTCCGAGAATTATTCCAGAATTTTCACTAGGGGGCTAGTAACTTATGTACCTTCTACATAGCAAATACCCTAACAAAATCCAAGAGCCTTACATAAAAAGGCATGTGCTCAGTATAAACCATGTTATACATATACATATTATACAAACATATTATACATATTATACAAACAATTCAGACAAAATGAATTACCTTTTTTTTTTAATTAAAACACTGTTTGGCTGATGGTTCAGGCACATTTCTACCTAGCTCTTACATCTTAAATTAACCCATTTCTATTAATCTATGTATCACCACCAGGCTATGGCCTACCAGTAACGTTCTGGTGTCTTTCTCCTACAATGAATTATTCTTATCAACAGTAAGAAAAGATATCTTTCCCAATTCCAAGTTGTCAGAAGTTAGCTACACTAGCTTAGCAATCAGCCTATCCAGACTGAGGGATGCAGTATCTTGGTTCCTTCTGTATTTATGTGACAAAGACAACTGAAGACAGAGAGGATTTACTTTGGCTCAGAATTCCTAAGTACCATCCATCATGGAAAGAAGCTAAGGCAGTGGGAGCTCGAGGAAGATGTTCACCCTGCATTAGCAATAAAGAGGTAGAGAGCAATGAACCCTAGTACTGTTTTATTGGTCTAGGATCCCAGTCTACCGAACAGTCCTGACACATTCACCCTGAGTCTTGACACTTCAGTTAACCCAGTCTAGAAAATCCTCAGACATACTATGTGTGTGACTCCCGGTAATTATAGATCTTGTCAAGATGACAATTAATATTAACAATAGTAAGTTCATCCCTTGTCAACTTAACATTTAAATGTATCACCTTTGAACAACTACCTTTTATCCTATGTCCCCATAGAGTCATGGCCAACACATAGTGCAAAATCCTTTTAGATCTACTTCAAAAGTAGGCTTCCACAACTCCTAAATATTCCTGAAGCCCCTTTAGACAAGTTATAAACAAATATCTATGGGCAATCTGACTAAACTGGATTTAAGTAAACTTCTTTCTGTATTAGAGAACTAAAAAGCCAGGGGTAGATTGCTACTTTGAATGCTTTCAGAGTATGTGGGGGTCTACAGAAGTGGGTCTGCTCCACCTTGACTGAAGGTCAGAGACCTTAAGCCTACTCTCGCTCTTTCAAAGTTATTGACAAGAAGTCTGACTTAAGAAGTGGCTACAAACAAGATATCTTTACTGAGGGTGTGGTTACCTGGTGTTCTGGATATTAAGATGGCCCACAGAGGTGGGTACACTCCACCTTGACCAGAGGTCAGTGAATTCAAGCCTATTCCTGCTACTTTAAGGACAAGACAGGAGGTGTGACCCAGGGAGTGGCTGCCTATAGGATACTTGGTCTAAGGTGTAGTTACTGCATCTCCTGCCTAAAACATCAGACTTCTTAACTCAAGAAATAGTAGCTTGATGTCTCAAGTATTGAAGCAAGTAACTGTTCTGCTTGTCCTTTGTGTCATGTTAAAGCAGTCTTTTGCCTTCTTTCCCCCTGATTTGGGTATATAAGCTTATGGAAAATAAACACAGGCATATTCAGTATTCACTAGATAGCCCTCCTGGCTCTATCCTACGTCCCTGTGTTTCTTTCATATCTCTGTTCCTCCTACCTAATTTTTCTAATCCACATGCCCCTATCCTTGAATGTACAAACCACATAGAGGCTGGAACCCGCAAGATGTCACCCCAATGTGTGGCTACAACAAGACTAATGATTACAAAAAATCAAGTAAACAATTGATCAACTGATTTGCAAAGTATTTTAAGTTTCATACAATACTTTCATATTTATGCACTAAGGATAAAACTTTTGAGAGCAAAAAAGTCACATTAACTGAACTACTGTTACTTTCCTTTATTCTTAAATCATGAAAGGAAGAGTGTATTTTAATAATTTTTACAAATATCTATCTCATTATTTAGTATCTGCATGATATCCCATTTTATGGTTATATTAAATACTGATGAATTTTAGGTGGTTTTCAGGTTTTAATTAATATAAAGAAAACTTAGTATTCTTATGCATGTGTTTACAAATACTCTTATATAAAAATCTTACAATGAAACTGCTAGATCAGAAAGAAATAGCCTAAAAAATTAAGGAACTCCAATAGGCCATTAAAAATTCATACAGAAACAATGACAATTACCTTCATCTTAAAGAAAATAAACTTAGATTACAATAAATTTAAGCTGATGGAAGCCAGTCAATTAAGAACTTACCTCGTCCACTTCCACTTCTACTTTGATAAGTGTCACCATTACCTGTAAGACATTACATTGCAATACCTTGAGAGAACATGCCTTCCCCTACTTCCCTTCCCCTCAGATACACAAGCAGTTTATTCAGTATAGAGACATTACCTAATTCCTAAACCTGTCAATTTTTTAATTTCATAGAATCCATTTAAACTTTACCCTTTTCCAGGCATTTTGTGTTGTGTATGTGTTGTGTCTTTTCCCTATTTGATCTTAAACCATACACATCATTTTTCCCTACACCTCAGAAACTTATCTTTGAAACCAATGCAAGCCTTATTTTCCTTCTTCAAATTACAAACGATTACTCACATCTCATGCTGTCAGTCAGCAACAATGTACCAATTTCCTAAGGGAGACAAAACTTCCCATGTTTTTTGCCTTCATAACTAAGATTTGGGGGAATGGTCAGTAAGCCTTAGTATACATGCCTTCTTGCTCAAAGCATAGATGAGTATTAGTCCTCAGTAACAATTTTATTTCTCACCTGAATCACTTGCTGCTGGTTTTCTAGAACTAAAAAGGCCACCACCACGCTGTGTCCCCTGATCTTGGTCATATTCACTATCTTTATTTGAAAGAAACAGAATTCTATTGTTACTTTTAATAAAGTTTTACAATCATTTAGCAAATGAGCCCAAGTCATGGTATTGTTGGCTAAAGGATGTGTAAAATAGTATAGCAAGAATTACAATGTATATCCATAGAGGCCAGGCAAATAAAAGAATTACAATGTATTTTTTTCTAAATGTCACAGAAAGGATTTCTTTACAAATTATATACTTCTATTACAAATAACTTCCTCAAAAATTAATGCTATTTATAAATGTTAGTGTCAATGATATACCCAAAAAAGCCTGCCTCCAAAAAACAGCAATTTAATTGTGCCTAGAAACCACATTGTACCATTTTACTACTTGTTCACCAAAATACCACCCCTGCTCCCACCACTGCCAAATCTAATATCAGCCCTGACCTGTACAGACCTTTCAGAGGCCTTTACTTTCCTCTGTTAAGAGACACATGCATGTCAACAGTGACTTCTGAAAACAGTACCTTAGGAATGATGTCTATAAGAATTTAAAGTAGAAAGCCAGATTGGGGAAAGAAAGTATGAAGGAGTGAGCCATATAGAAGACCACTTATTTAAAAAGTCAGCGATAGTTCCTAGGCTCCAAAACATAATGCTTTATCAAGACTTGGTAGCGCAAACTTCTGAAACATGTGTTCCAACTTACTATTTAGTTACCCAGGTTTCTAAAAATGATCCATGATATGGGTAATTAATTTGTGACAGTCATTCTGTAAAAATATTCATATAATCCTGTGGCAACTTTGTGCAATAGGGTTTTTTAAAAATAATTTCCTTCTTAACAAATGAAACACATTTTATACAATCAATCCACTACTAACTTGGTCTTCCTAGACCAAATCCTCCTCGGCAACCTCGGAAACTACCTCTTCCACCTCCTCTTCTGAAGGGTCCTGAAGCTTCTGAATCATTTCCATCTTGATAGCCTATATTAAAACACACACAAGAACAGTACAAAATAACAAAAAAGTCTTGGAGACATAGCAACTGAATTTAACCTTTGTATAATTTAAATGGCTTTAGTGAACACCTTAAGAATTAACTTTTTAAAAGTCACAATTGACTGCTTTACGAACATAGATATTTCTACAACCAGAAAAAAAAAAGAGCATTGTTTGAAGAATCAAAAATGAGCTAAAGAAGCATGTTGCTTGAACAGAGCGCCAAGTGGCAACAACTGCACCATTAGCTGGAATTTTACAATCTTATTACAGAACTAAATAAATCCAAGTTTGTGTTTGTCCCCTATAGAAAAATAATGAACTAGGTGCATGTAGTCTCATTTCCTGTTACAAATTACAACTGAACTGTGACTCCACCTAATGCAAAAGCAGATCACTTCCAAACCAAGGTCAACTACACAGAAAATAAACTAATATTTAATTTATGCATTTACAACTACTTAATAACATAATTATTGCTAAAATCCAAAGTCCTCTATATTTGATGATTGATGGTAGATCATGTATATTTTTAAAATCCTGCTTATAAGAGAATTCAAAATACATTCATGGGCCGAAGATGTGGCTCAGTGGTAGAACACTTGCCTAGCACGTGACAGAAGCTGTGTTTTATCCTCAGCACCACCAAAACCAAAAATTTTAAAAAATCTAAGAAAATTCAAATTTATACACCAGTCAACACATTCCTTAATCTATCAATAATCTTCACGTTACTAGTTAGGCCCACTTAGTACTTCTAAATTACTTGTGCCTCTTTACATTTTAAAAAGCCTATCAATTTTCTTACTTTCCATTTAAAAAGTCCTCTGGACTTCTCTTTTTCTAAGTAGAAATTATTTTCATAAAGGTCATCAAATAAGACATAAAACATGTATCTAGACTTAAAACCTAATTTAAGACTAAGGATTTGCCATCTATCTTAAGACTAAAATGCTAGTACAGCTGCAGCCACGGGTGTCTTCTGTCTTGTCTCCCCCTCACTGACCCAACCAACATCTTGTATTGTTACCCATCTCCCAGCACTTGTATTATCACCTATGGACATACAGCTAAGCAGCATGCTTAACTCTGCTCTACATCTCTTTTACCCAGCTCTCTTCCTGTCTACTGAGAAACAGCACTCTATCATCCATGCTCTACTGTATCTCTATTATCTTCTTTCCACTGAATTGTCTTCCTTAAGGAACTCAGCTTACTAGTTTCCCACAAAATAAACTAGCCGTATCACACACATTATGCTCTATTTTATATTGTTATTAGGCAATAAATACTTCACATTTCCATTTAGACTATCCATAAACTGAGAAAATCAGTTTTCAAACCATAAAGGTTAGACATCCAGTGCTAATTTCTGTTTTTGCAGCTGGGTCGTGGTGGCACACGCCTTTAATCATAGCACTAGGGAGGCAGAGGTAGATGGATCTCTGTGAGTTTAAGGCCAGCCTGGTCTACAAGAGCTAGTTCCAGAACAGGCTCCAAAGACACAGAGAATCACTGTCTCAAAAAATAAAACAAAATCATGGTCTCTTCTTAATTATAATATATACCTGTGTCTAAATATATAAATACAACTTGTAGAGTCTGCTTATTTTACTTTTATGTATATGAAATCCAGTTAGTACTGGATTACCAACTGGGGCATCATCCTTGGAGAAAACTATTTCTCCCTCTCTCTGTATTAGCTCAGGAATATTTAAACTATTTTTAACACAGTCTTATCCCTATTGATTTCTGCCCTCCTACTGATTTTCTCTATTACTAAAGCAGACACTTTATTTTGTCCTTTCTCTGATCATCCTTCACTTTTACTTAAAAGCAACTTTTCGTTTCCTTTCAAGCTGGCAACCATTTTCAATTTTTCCCTTGCTAGTATTTCAGTTCTTTAGTGTTTATCACAGCCCTAATCATTATTGCTACACAGTAATAACTTAAGTTCACCAATCTATTCACCAGTTTCATACTTGTGACTCATCACTGCTTTCTTATTATGCTTTATGTTGTGTGTATGTCACACGTACATGTACATCACAGCACGTGTGCAGGCCTGAGAACAACTTTTCAGTTGATACTCTCTCCTCCACACTGGGTCCCAGGGATTGCTCAGGTCCCCAGCCTTGGCAGCCACCTGCCTTTACACAAGCACTCATCACTAGCACTCATTGTCAATGTCTATCTCCTCCTTCTTGTGTTCAACTGTCTTCTCGCTTCTGTTTTTGATTTTGTAGTTATTTTTGTAGTATTATCTATAATACCTTGGGAGTTTTAAATACTGTTTTTACTTGGTGTAATTTCTCACTGGCATCTAAATACCCGAATACAGTGATTTGGATTCAAAACTATCCCTCCTCAACATTCTGAATACAGTATTCTATACTGTAGCCTAGCTACTTTAATGTAAGAAAATTCTGTTGTCAAGATATTGCTCTTTTAAAAATGAATCTCATCCCCTACCCCTTCTAGTGATTTCAACCTTTGAAACACTTTAATTTCAATATATATATATATATATATATATATATATATATATATATATATATATGAGGGTATGAATTTTTTTATTTAATTTGCTCAGAACTCCATGACTAACTGCAAGCCTTATCTATTCTCTTCTTTTCAGTGTGTCTTTCTCTTGTTTTCTCTTACAAGATATTTAGGAATGTTTTTAGGAATGTGGTGGGCAAGTAGATATTCTACTGTTTCCAATCAGTTAGCTGCATTTTGTTTTCCATGTCCATTATAATTTCTCAGATCTGTTTTTGATTCATTTTTGCTGAACTTATCTGTTATGCTATATGCTCAAGTCAGTGCTGAGGCAAGCTCTACCACTGCTCAGACCTGGTGTAGGAGGTTCTTCTGTCCATGTCTTGCTTTTTTGGTTAATAAATTAACTGCTTTGGCCTAGTTGATAGGGTAGAACTTAAGTAGGTGGGGAAGACAGAACTGAATAGTGGGAGAAAGAAAGGGGGAGGGGGAGAAGAGACGCCATGGATCCGCTGAAGACAAATGCTGGGAATTTTACCTGGTAAGCCACTGCCACATGGTGATACAGATTAATAAAAATGGGTTAAATTAAGATGTAAGAGTTAGTCAGTAAGAAACTAGAGCTAATGGGCCAAACAGTGATTTAATTAATACAGTTTCTGTGTGGTTATTTCAGGACTAAGCTAGCCAGGTAACCGGGAAGAACAAGTGGCCCTCCCCTTACACAGGCCAGGCCTGTGGGTGTGCTCTACCACTGTGCTAGGCACTCAGCCCTGACAGTGACATTCTAGATAAAATGAGTTCTGAAGTCAAAGGTAGGAAGAGATATGGACTGTATTTCATAAGCAGCAATTTCTGATAATGTCTGGTAATAACCTTCAGAAAGGACTACTTGAAAATAGCCCTCCTAGCCGGGCGGTGGTGGCGCACGCCTTTAATCCCAGCACTCAGGAGGCAAAGGCAGGTGGATCTCTGTGAGTTCGAGGCCAGCCTGGTCTACAAGAGCTAGTTCCAGGACAGGAACCAAAAGCTACAGAGAAACCCTGTCTCGAAAATCAAAAAAAAAAAAAAAAAAAAGAAAGAAAGAAAAAAGAAAATAGCCCTCCTATTCAAAGGAGTATTTGAAAATCTCTCCTCCAAAAGAAATTCTGTAGTCATATTAACATGTTCCATGTTCTATAACCAGCCAAAGTTGTCCAAGAGTGAATATACTGAAAGCAACTGGTTAATTTTATAATATATGAAGTGTTAATGCAATGCAAAGTGATATGCATCACCAAATACCAAGAACTCAATGTAGAAAATGTTAAGAAATCCATAATGAAATGAGAAAATGTGACTAGAAAAACCTAGAAGTTTGTGCAGCAAATGTTGTTATCTACTGAGCTCTCTTGTCTGCCTCTGACTCCTACTTTATACACAAAAGTAAATGCAAGCAGCCGGGCGGTGGTGGCGCACGCCTTTAATCCCAGCACTTGGGAGGCAGAGGCAGGCGGATCTCTGTGAGTTCGAGGCCAGCCTGGTCTACAAGAGCTAGTTCCAGGACAGGAACCAAAAAGCTACGGAGAAACCCTGTCTCGAAAATCAAAAAAAAAAAAAAAAAAAAAAAAGAAAGAAAGAAAAAAGAAAATAGCCCTCCTATTCAAAGGAGTATTTGAAAATCTCTCCTCCAAAAGAAATTCTGTAGTCATATTAACATGTTCCATGTTCTATAACCAGCCAAAGTTGTCCAAGAGTGAATATACTGAAAGCAACTGGTTAATTTTATAATATATGAAGTGTTAATGCAATGCAAAGTGATATGCATCACCAAATACCAAGAACTCAATGTAGAAAATGTTAAGAAATCCATAATGAAATGAGAAAATGTGACTAGAAAAACCTAGAAGTTTGTGCAGCAAATGTTGTTATCTACTGAGCTCTCTTGTCTGCCTCTGACTCCTACTTTATACACAAAAGTAAATGCAAGCAGCCGGGCGGTGGTGGCGCACGCCTTTAATCCCAGCACTTGGGAGGCAGAGGCAGGCGGATCTCTGTGAGTTCGAGGCCAGCCTGGTCTACAAGAGCTAGTTCCAGGACAGGAACCAAAAAGCTACGGAGAAACCCTGTCTCGAAAATCAAAAAATAAAAAAAAAAAAAGTAAATGCAAGCTAAAAGTATAACGAGGTTCAATAACAAAAATTCAGTGAACTGTTCAGATGAAAAGGAAAGTGCAAAGCATACAGATGGGAGGATATCTTAGTACTGTAAACTGAGATGTTTCCTATCTCTTAAAGCTAAAACTATAGCCCAATAACTAGCAATTCTACACCTGAACATGCCAATGCTCAAAAATACTACACCATTCACAACACCACTTTCATAGTTGTCCCAGCTGAAAGCAGCCCCAATACCTGCAGACTATTAGAAGAAGACTATTAGCAGGGTTAATGATCTGTAAGAGTAAAATCATAAATGGCTCTCCAAGTACATTAAACAGAAGCCAAAAAACAGCACCTGCTGTATTAGTTCCTTTATATCTAGCAGAAAAACAGACAAAATTGTACATTTAGAAGTCAGAATAAAAATCTTCAGGATGCCATTGTTTATGACTGAACATGTTATGAAAAGAGGGCGTTTCTGAGGTGCTAGTGATTTCTATTTCTTGACCTAGATGTGGCGAATAAACTGAGGTGTTCAGGTTTTTTTTCAGTATTGAGTTACCTAGCAATGGTATATTAGATCATATTACAAAATAAGCACGTGCGCGCGCGCACACACACACACACACACACACACTCACTCACTTAATGGCTATGTGCTAGCTTTCTAGTCTAAAATGTGTGTGTCTACAAGAAACAGGAATCAAGACTGTTCTAGAAAATGGCTATGTCCCAGCTAATCATTCTACTGTTGCTTTAAGTCAGAAATAAGAACAGTCTGCTCCAAATGACTTCTAGTTTCTTCATTTAAACATGAATTAATCTGACTTAAAGGTAACACAGACATCATCATTCTCCAGAAAACAAATGGGGAAGAGAAGCAGGGTTGAGGATGCAGCTCAGTGGTGGAAAACTTAGGGAGCACAAGGCGCCCCGGGTTTGATGACTAGCACTACTATTTTTTCGTTTTGCTTTTTCAATGAGAAATGCTAAAAGATGTACTAAATTTTGCTTTTTCCTTCACTATCACATCTTTGAAAAATTATCATAAGGCTTAATTTAGGAGATCGCCTTTTTTCAATCTGAAACTTACTGATAGCTTCTCTGGCAAGGAGGAGAGCACTAACTATCTTAAGGTAAAATGAAAGATGCTCCCAAGTCATACCATCATGGAGTTCTGTATTATCACAGACACGCATAGGTGAGTACTTGAATGAGTACTCTATTAGAAGCTCACTCCAGTTTTCTGAAGGTACTGCTGCTGCTATTTTAACATGTCTCCCATATATTCAAAACATATAAAAGATAACTGTTATACCATCTCCCCTCCAATTCATTAGAGGCAGAATTAACAAAGAATGATGGACTATCTTGAGATCTGAACAAAAATTAATCTGCAATTTCTTCCCTCTCCCAAATTTCTAATGACATTTTTCAGAAACAAATATATTCTTGGTTCATCTAAATTGTGATTGATCAAGACACTAAAAATTCCTCTTTTGTAAATTATAGCATACTCTTGAGGGCCTAAGGAAAAAAACAAGTATGAAATGGCAGAGAGGAAGAGGTGGACTTACAAAGAACTGATCAAATACTAGGGGCAGGGAGCGTACATCAGCGTATTTTTCTTAAAGGCTTTCATTTCTTTCAGACTTTCTAAAGTTAGTTCTGTCAGTTTAGTTTTGTCTTACAGACAAATTGTTCAAAGCATTGTCCTTACCACCTCTCTTGGAAAACCCCCTGTTCCGAGTTTGATTGTCTTCACAGTCATTACTGGACTCTTGAATAGAAATACAACATGTGAATAACATCTAGGTAACTTTAAAGGCATAACTGCTAAAGAACAGAATAGAACTTAATAGGAATATTTTTTCAAGTTGAAATTGAACATTATGATACTTAAAATATTTCACTAGAAACAAAGACATTGCTTAAATTCCCTATACAGAACATCTATGTATGTCAGTATTTAATGTTAAGTCTACGATTGAGCACCAACTATTTGGTCCCTGTTATGCTAGACAAAAAGAAAAACTTACACAAGTAATCAAATGGTTCTGAAAAGCAATTCATAGGCTATAGAGACATATGACTGTTCCATTTAAAATATTATCATTTCTTTCTCTGTAATTATCATTCTTAACAATGCTAGATAGTGGTGCTTTCTTAAATCCATGCAAACGTTTCCTCATTTTTCCTAATTAAGTATTCAATTACTCAATGGATTTTCTGTTTTAGTGACAACATAAGTACACTTCCAGAGTTTTTCTGGACAGTGGTATAAGAATCAATCACAACACTGAAGAACACCCAAGTGAACAGGGTGAAAACAGATGCTTAAGCTCCACTCTCACAGTTTATTCTCCAAGTACAGAGTGATAAGGAATGAACAATTGTTCAAATTTTAAAAGTTTTATGTTTATTAATATAACTCTAAGATCTTCAAATTCTAGCAAAAGCATATTTGGAAATACACAGAGAATTTCAAGGTATTTTTCCCATGTCATTGACGCCCAGTATTCAAGAACTTTAAACAAATGGCAAAGATGTCAAGCAACCAAACAGTTTACAGGCTATCATCTAAACTCATGCACAAAATTACTCATCTAGTTACTGCTTTGTTTTATACTTTCTAAACATGATTCTGACACCTAGCTGAAGGCCTTTCTTTGACTATTTGGAGCATATGTATGTGTTTGAAGACAAGATTTTTCTGTATTACAACCCTGGCTGTCCTGGGACTCAATTTTTAGACCAGGTTGGCCTTGAACTCACTGAGATCCACCTGCCTCTGCCTCCCAAGTGCTAGGAGTAAAGGCATGTACCACTACACCCAGCAAGCTTATATTCTTTTAAATAGTCACCTGGGACAACTTTCTTGAAAAGAAGATTTAAGAAAAATAAGTGGAAAAGGGCTTTTAAGAATGAAAACTGACTGAGATAATAAGGTGAGAGCTAACATATCTGCCTTGACAAAAATAATCCTATAGATCACTTTAGGACCTGGCAAAGAGAATGGGGTCTTACATTTTCTTTCATCAATTATTCCCTTAAAATCAACCTGCATTTACTTTGATCATTTTAAGAAGTAAAATAGAAGCTAGGTGGTGGTGCATGCCTAGGACTCAGGAGGCAGAGGCAGACAAATCTCTATTAGCTCAAGGGCCAGCTTGGTCTACAAGAGGTACTTCCAGGACAGGTTCCTAAGTTACATAGAAAAACCCTGTCTCAGGGGAAAAAAGAAGTAAATTAAAATAATGGCATTAGAAGAACCTGGATAAAAATGAATTCTATACTATTTTTTCTAATTTCTTGTAAATCTAGCCATTTAGAAATAAGTTTAAAATAAGAAGTGATCTTTGTAGATATAGGAGATAAAGCAAAGCACAAATGAAAATTGAATAAAATTAAACAGTTGTAACCTAATAATTGCATGGTATAAAAATGATGTCATAAACAACTTATGCACCTGGCACTGAATCTCTCTAGCCTGTTTCTGACATTATAGTTTTTAAAGTTTCCAGAAAAACACAACTTACCTTTCCAGAAACCAGAGCTATCTCCTTCTTCAAACTTGTTATTTAAAAAACCTATAAATTAATAAAAGGAAACTTCAAATTTCTGAAAGAATTTCTTTTACCTTTACAGCTTAAAAATGTTTTTCAGGACTGGAGAGAGATGGCTCAGCAGCTAAGAGCGCCTACAGTTGTATTGTAAGAGCAGGGATTCGGACCAAGCACTCACATCAGGTGACTCACAGATGCCTATAATTTCAGCTCCAAGAGATCTAACACCCACTCCATGGCATGTGTACAGAAACACATAAAATCTGTTTAAAAATCTTTCAGGGACAACTAATTATGATAACCCCTCCAAATGAGATAAACTATAATACAGCTACATATATAGCTGCAGTGTAGTGAAATTTCATTTGTATTTTAATAAAGCTTGTCTGAAGATCAGAACACAAAACAGCCACACTAGTCAGCCATACAGGCCCTGCAGTGGTGGCACACACCGTTACTCCCAGCAGCCACACTAGATAGCCATAGTGGTCGGGTGGTGGTGGTGCATGCCTGCAATACCAGCACTAGAGAGGAATATAAGGCAGGATGACACTGGAACTCACTCTCTTTCAGCTGGAGATTTCACAGTGCTAAGAGCTCTCTAGTAGCTTGGCTGCTTTGCTTTTCTGATCCTTAAGTTGAACCCCAGTATCTGTCCCTGGGATTTTATTATTCATGCTACAATTGGCACCCAATGTTCAAGGTATGGATTCACAAAAAAAGCCATTTGTGGCTCGTTAGCCACTGGCACAGGCTGGAGCCGCACACAGGGTTTGAGCCCCACTGGGCTAGGCTTTCTTTTTTCCCCTCAAACCTTTGAGTGAGTTTGGGATTTTTCCTGTTTAACCTCTCTGAAACAGTCCCCAGCTGCCAGCCAAACTCCAGAAGTACCTGGGCTCCAAATGCCACAGGACTCACCCACTCTAGACTGGCTGGTTCTGCCTTCAGGCAGCAACCTTCACACGTGCTTTTTCCCAACAATAATACCCTGGTGTGTTTTTTTTTTTCTTCAGAAAGCCCGAGCTCCTCCCTCCTTCCATCCATCCATCTCTCCCATCTCTCCCCTCTCACTCTCTCTCCCTCCACTATGGGTTGCAGGCTCTCTCTCCCTGAACCCCCTTTTCAGACTGCTGCCAAATTAGGCAGCTGCCTTGAAATCCACTCAGGCCTTTACTGTTCTACGCAGCAGCAATCAGCCTCACATCTTCATCAATATCAGTAGATCTCTTAAGAAAATTGGGAATTCTTAAAGGGAGAAATTAGTTAAAAGAGAGTTTTCCCCCACATTAAAAATATGGGGTTTGCTTTTGTTTACACAGGAGAAGAAAAGCTATGGATACCACCAAAATTGATAAAGATTTGATTTGAACAATACACATCTTAATTAGAAGAGATGACAGTTCATCAAAGAGCATAGCTGTTTAAACTAAACTAACCTATATAACTAACAAATGCTTTCAATATGATCAGATATAACTGGCCAAAGGATAATATCCCCCAAATTAGGGTTGGGGAAGGGTTTTGGTTCTATCTTTTCAAGAGAATAAAGGTATCCAGCTAAGGAATCTGAAGACCACTGACAAATGAGACATCTGAGAAGAAAGGACAAATCATCCAGGAAAAAAAATGTCTCAAGAAAAAGAGTAAATTGGCCTATTGGTATATCACATTTCCAACAGGATAAAATTTTATTTATCTTCCCAAATGTTTCTGCTGTTCTCTAAAGACATATAATGCAAATAGTCTTTTTGTAGTTCCAGTATAATTAAAAAATCAAAGCTGGCTTTGGAGTTGGAATGTGGCTCTCTCTTTCTCTAAATGCAAGCATGTGTATTAAAAGCGAAACCTAAAATCTCTGTTTCATGTAAGAGGAGCCACCTAATATGGGACAGAAGAAAAACAAAAATTTAAGGACTATTATTGCCACTAATCTCACAATCCTTTGGTTTTAAATTGAATCCTTAACTAAGGTATAAATTATATAAATATATATATATATATAATTTATACCTTAGTTAAGGTATTATATATATAGTTTTTGTCATGATATTAATGGTCATATAGAGTATTAACTAATTCTAGAAAAAGGTTTAATTTATCTTCTTGTACATCATTTCGGGTTTGAATATCAGTTTTCTGCAGTGAACCATGACCTTTGAAGTTTCCACAAGGAGGATGGGGCCCTGTAATGATGATTCCTCCAGCATTATGATAACACCACTAAGCTGAAAAATACAATCTAAAGATTGACTTTGGACTACAAACTGCTCAGAACAATTTCAAGGTGGCTAGCACATAAATTGAAAATAAAAACAGTGTAAAACCACATGGTTTTTCTTGTCCTGAGGAAGCAAAAACTCAGGATCCCCAGGGCTTGTTGGCCAGGCAGTCTAGCCAAATCAGTAAGCTCTAGGTTCAGTGAGAGATCTGTCTCTTAAAAAATTGTTGACTCTCACTTAATAAAATGGTCTTTAGTGTAAAAATACTCAAGGACTTAGTTAGGGATGGTGGTGCATGCCTGTAGCCCTAGCTACTTAGAAGCTGATTATAGACTATCACTTGAGTTTATGAGTTAGATACCTAACTGGACAGCATAGTGAGACTATCTCACACACAGAAAAGATACTTGGGGATACATATCTTAAAATTAAATGTCAATATGGATACCTATCGATCATTGTCTTAACTACATTATAAAGTACTCAGTTTATAATTAGGCTTCTTTAACATAAGAAATAAGCAATTATTTAAATAGTTGTTCAATTTATACACATGATATATATGTGTTATCTCAAATCACTTAACATCCTCAGATTTAACCAAATTTAAGGGCTCTTCTAGCAATAAAATGACATGGAACTTTAATATGTAATTCTCCTCTAAAAGCAAATATCCAACAGCTTCACTGTATGATTGACCAAAAATTCTTCAGCAGGTATTTTCTTTCAAAATGTAAATGTAGTCCTTAAAAATTATTATTTCTACAAAAAAACTAAGCTTTAAATTATCAATGTCACATAAATATTTGTAATCTTCAAAGTTGCTATATTCAAAGAATATAGTCAAAGAAATTGGCTGTATTCTACCTCCCTCAGTAGCTGCTTGCTCCTGTCATTCCTGTCCCAAGGAAAAATCAATGTTGAGTTTCTGAAAAAACTGGGACGCTCTCCCACCTAAACATTATTGGTCATCCTGTGCTCAGCTACAGATGAGCACACATTCCCCTACTGAGGTATAAACAAGTCTCCACAGGGAACTTAGATCCCTGAGTAATAAAGAAGGGAAGAATCGGGGCTCATATATAGAGTGAATCAATGATATTAAAGCAAGAGGAAAAAGCAAAATGAAGTACCAAAAATATGGTGCAACAGGGATAAGAGTGCTTGCTGTAAAGCCTGCTGGTCTGAGTTCAATCCCTGGAGTCCACATGGTGGATGGAGAGAAACAATACCTGGAAGTTGTTCTTTGTCCTCCATACATAAACATACAAATAATAATAATAAATGTTTTTAAAAAGACAGAACACTGTATATACCCAAAGCAGCATAAACTGTTGCTTTTATATCTCTAAATGAAAATACTTTCTTGAGAGGCTCATAATTTCTAGCATGACACATACTTTCTGGGGTTTTTTCCTAAAAAATAAACCTGGAAACCTTGGAGCCAACTACAATTGTGGTTGTAAAGTATTACAAGTAATTACCTCTGTTTCCAAAACCCTTTCCTCTCCCGAATCCTCCAGCAGCAGGTGTGTTCTCTCTTTTACTAGACTCGCCAATATCTGAAAAATTTTATAGAAAGTTAAACTTCTTAACATGCAAAATTGTGTCATTAAAAGATAGGGATGAAATGCATCTTTAGGATTAGATGACTTTGACAGATAGTAGGAAAATAGAAAAGGGACTTTAAAATAATATATTTGCAAGTATATTTAATTCTCAAGTTATATTTCCAAAATGTAAATAAATAAAATAATAAATAAATAAATCCACTAGTGGTAAACATGTAAGGTTTACTCATTCTTTTACCTTTAATCAGTAATTCACGTCATGATTTTCTATATACTGAATCCTCACTTCAATAGACTGGGCATTATATTCAGCCCACATGATAACTTCACCATTGAAAATAATAAAATATAGTTCAAAATGTTTTCAGCACCTTACTATCAATTTAGTTACAAAAAAATGAAAGCATTTTGCTCTACTACTATCTACAAACCCAAGTGTTTCTAGCTTTTTGTTTGTTTATTTGTTTTGAGACAGGATTTTAAGTGCAGTCCAGGGTGGCCTTAAACTCAAAATCCTACTGGAATTGCAGGACCCACCACACATGGGAAGTATTGATGGCTCTAAACATACAATTTTAAAATCCAACCTGGTCAGGCACAGTGACGCATGCCTCCAATTGCATCATTTGGGAGATGGAGACAGGAGTTCTAGGCCAGTCTTAGCTACACAGCAAATTCAAGGCCAGTTTGGGCTACAAGAGACCCTATCTCAAGGCCTGGAGGGATGGCTCAGCCGTTAAAGGCTAGGCTCACAACCAAAAATATAATAAGAGACCCTGTCTCAAAAATAAGGAAATAAATTCAACCTTGGTAAAAATAACTTCTTAAATTTAACACTGATAAGCTAACTAAAATATCTCCCATATTGTTTTTGTTAAGAAAACTTAACACTCAAGGAGGCCCTTTTACTCTACCCTCCAAATGTTTTACAACAATGTTCTCACATCAGTTCCTAGAAACAGAAATCTGAAATTAAGCAGCAACTGTGGACAATCTGTCTGTGAAGTCAATTTAACTGTCTTATCATCATCCCAAAGAAGTTAAGACAGCATTGAAGTACATGGGCATCACCTGGTGTGGTAGCACACGCACCTACTACTAGCACTTAGGAGGCTGTGGAAGGAGGATCACAAGTTCAATACATGTCTGTAATATAGTACACAGGAAGAGCTTAGGGCCAGTGTGGGTTTAAGACCAGCATGGATTATATTATATAATGTTTAAAGCCAGCTGGGCATGCATGCCTGTCTTTGTTTCTCTGCCCCTCTCCCACCCCCACATACCACTCACATTAAATAAAATCAACTCATTATATCAACAAAACCTACCATCCGCTCAAGTTATAACAGACTTAACTTTTCTTTAAACAGCCAAAGTCCCTATGCCTTTAGTCAACAATTCAGATTAAAGGAAGACTATACTTACCTCTGTTTCCCAAATTTCTTCCAGAGGGAAATCTCATGAAATGATCTCTTCCAGAAGGTCCATCTTCCATTTCTAAAGCAAATAACATTTCAAAGCAAATCAAATAAAAATACATATCAAATATATAAAATTTAAAGCCTTCTCAATGTGCCACATATAACAGAGGGATTTTATCTATTAACAAAAATAAATAAATAAATAAATAAATAAATAAATAAACCAAGAGCCAAGCTACCTGAGAGGCTAAGGCAGAAGGGTAACAAATTCACAGCTATCTTAACTACAACGTAAGTTCTAGGCCAGTACTAGGAACTTATGAGATACTTTCTCAAAACAAAATTAAATTACAGAGTTAAAATAGGACTGTAGATGCAATTCAATGGTGGAATACTTGTTTAGGATGCATGAGGCTTAGTCAAAGAAGAAAAATAACAAAGAGCCTAACTGAAAAATGAGTTGTCTAAGTAGCTCTTCAGAAGAGTACCCTATGCTCCACTAGCTTCTCGACAGGCCCACTCATCTACCTAGAGACAGCACCAGACACTGTGAGCTGGGGCCTCCTATATTAATTAGCAGTCAAGAAAATGTCCCCCAGACAAGCCCGCAGGCCAATATGATTGAGGCAACTCTTCAATTAAGGATCTCTTCCTAAGCAACTCCAGGCTGTGTCAAGTCACCAATAAAAACTAACCAGGGCACTATATTAAGTAAAAGCAAGAGTATAATATGATCCCATTTCTGAAAAAATGAAAAATAGCCAGATCAAGTAGAATCGTAACAAAATGAAAATAAAGTATAGAAAGCAAGGACAGAGAAGCAAAGAAAAGCAAGTCTATGTCTCAATAAAAATAAAAATGTAATAAGTATGCACCCATAAAATAAAAGTAGAATTTGATACAATTATGTCAGAATATAGACAGAGAGATCTAAAAAGAATCACAGTCACTATCAGTGGAGGCCAAAATTTGGGGCTAATATTTTGATTTAGTTTCTTCCTTTCTAACCATTTAAATTTTTGATAAAAATTATTTAGGTATCAATTTAGTTTACATTCACTAGACAAGAATATGCTGCAATGAGAAAATAAACTTTCTAGGTCCAAAAAGCTCTATTTTTAATCATAAAATAGGACTAACACAATGGATCAAAAAAGGTACTTACAGAAGACAACCTGAGTGCAAGTGCCAGCACCCACAGGGTGGAAGCAGAGACCCTGAATCCTGGAGCTGTCCTCTCATCTCTAATCCTGTGTTGCAGCATGCATATATGCCCCCTAACACAATCAATGTAATATTTTAAAGTACTTTTTTGAAAATTTGAAAACTACAAAAAGGTATTTGTTATCCAGAGAGAAACAATTATTTCTCATTTGATTTCTTTTATTTAGCCTAAGCATCCACAGATTAATGAGCTATGGCATTTAGTTGGTAGTCATTTCAATCTAACTCTTTAAAAATTCTATGACAACAGAGTACTATGTTCTCATATGATATAGGCCTGCCTATTTCATTCCTTTACTGAAACTATCTCTGAGAACCAGGTTTACACTGGGAAAATATCAGGAAGTATACATTTACACATCTGTCTTTTATACTTTTAAAAGATCTCAGCATTAATATGGAGGAAGGAAAATGAGTCTTGTTTTGTTTGTTTCAGGCAGGTAATAATCCCATATGCTTTTGAAAATTGGATTATATATTAAACCAATACATTTAAATGTTTGTTAAAGAAGTGCCTTGACAACAGCAAAGGTTTTCATAAGCTCTAGCCAACAGATTTATTTGAACATATGAACTAAATTTGCTTTAACCTCACAGACTGAGTCTCGTACTCCCCTCACTTTTCTACAAACTACCTTGGCAGTTTTGTTTTCCTTCACTGTATGCCAGGTTCCAGTGAGCAAACAGTTCTCTTGACTATAAAATGTTTTGACCTCACCCTCTAATTTTTAACAGAAGAAATTATAAACTGATTTTCCCCTAGGCCTTGCATTTGTCTGCCTTAAAATGAGCAGTAACTCAAATGCATAGACAACGACTTGGACTCACTGGAAGTACAGTAGTGTGGTTGCCAGGGGCTAGAAACAGGAGGAGTGCGAAGCTATTATTTTAATGGGAGCAGAATTTCAGTTTGCAAAGATGAAACTTATCAAGGTTGATGTAGCAATGCAAGTGTGTTTAATGCCAGTCTACTGCACACTTAAAAATGGTCAGGACAGCCGGGCGATGGTGGCGCACGCCTTTAATCCCAGCACTCGGGAGGCAGAGGCAGGCGGATCTCTGTGAGTTCGAGACCAGCCTGGTCTACAGAGCTAGTTCCAGGACAGGCTCCAAAGCCAGAGAGAAACCCCGTCTCGAAAAAAAAAAAAAAAAGGTCAGGACAAAAAAAATTCAAAATAAAACAAAACAAATCAAAACAAAAAACACTGAGTCTTGGGGTTGGCACAATGGCTCAGCAGTTAAGAGCATTTACTGCTCTTTGCAGAGAAGCCATGTTTGGTTCCTGGCACACACAAGATAGCTAACAACAATCTCTAACTCCAGTTCCAGAGAATCTATCACTTTCTTTTATCCTCTACAGGCACCAGGTATGTCCATGGTGCACTTACACATATGCTGGCAAAACACCCATGTACATAAATAATTAATCTTTTTAATGGCAAATATTAAGGCTGGCAAGATGATTCAACAACTGGAAGTTCTTGCTGTACAGGCCTAATCATCTGTGTTCAATTCCCTCAAGGTTTGAACTCCTAAAAGTGGAGGGATAATCAACTCCACAAAGTTGTCTTTTGGTCTCCACACACATGTCATAGCACATACATTATGTACACAATAATAAAAATATTAATGGTGAAGATAGTCACTGTTATGTACATGTTACCATAATAAAAAATCTTTCACTGTATATCAGCAGTCACATTTTAGCCTGTTTCAATAAAGCAAAAGACTACCGCCACGATTTAATTTCTTACCCAAGTAGTGATGTAGTAAGGGCAGCGGGGCTGCGTCCCCAGCACCCCGGCTGCCTGCTCGGCGGCTAGCTTATGCCCCGAAATAATTACACGGACACTGTATTCTTTTAAACACTGCTTGGCCCATTCTCTTCTAGGCTAATTCTCACATATTAATTTAGCCCATTTCTAATCATCTGTGTGTAGCACCCCAAGGTGCACTTACCGGGAAGATTCTAGCCTATGTCCATCCTGGGTCGGAGCTTCATAGCGTGCATCTGCCCAGGAGCCAGGAGCATGGCGTCTCTCTCAGGCGTCTGAGAGGAGAGCTGTCGAGACTGAGCTCACTTCCTCTTCCTCCCAGCGTCCTGTTCTGCCTACTCCTCCCACCTATCTTTCAACCAATAAAATGGGCCAAGGCAGTTCCTTTATTAGCCAATGACCTTCCTCCATCAAAGTAGTACTCTTTCTACCATGTTACCATACACATTAATTCTAGAGCGTATGGTAGTACACATGCAGGGAAGGTGGGCAGTTCAAATACAAATTCATACAGAGAAAGGAGTTAGGAGTCACAAAATAGGTTTCAATCCTTTTGAAACTTATCTCTCATTCTCTTGGGAACTTCGGTAAATTAGTTTTCTGATGCCAAAGAAACTCATGCTCTTGATGGCATGACAATGTCTGGCTTAAACAGTTGGTTTTTGACCAATCATCAGAATTTGAACCTACTTTAATAATCTTACCATCTATGCTGCCCTCTTATATCAGGAGACCTGACAATGCTTTAGCAACCTGAAGCCAAACATGCAACCCTCAGGCTGAAAAAGTTTTACAGCAATTCACTGAAGTAATATAGTCTCTGACACTGTATTTTCTTTAGATATAAGTTTTCCTATCTAAAATATTAAATTATAATTAATCCTCACTAAAAAATTTAAAAATATTCTATACCTATCAATCTACTACTTATCCTTAAGTATTATACAAAACCCTTAACTTAAAAATAAAAATTGTCTTGCCTTAACACATACCTGATGAAGCCGAAGTCCTGTTAAAAGTGTCTCCATTTGCACCAGAAGAGTATTTGTCCTGTAAGACAGAAAACCAAGTTTTCAATCAACTCTGAATAAGAAGAATGTGCCATCTATTTCACAAATAAAAATTAGAGTCCCTTCTTTTTTCATGAGAAATACATTCTAAGACCCTCAGTGCCTGAAATCATGAGTAGTTTCTCAATTTATTCATATACTGTCTCTTTCTCTCTTCACCTCACTCTCTTCCCCCCTCTCTCATATACACAAAGTACATGAGATACTTTTTCTTGTACATATATACCTATGATAAGGTTTTTGAATTTGGCACAGTAAGAAAATAAATTATGGCAATAGACTGTAAAAAAAATTATTGTTCAGAAGCTAGGTAACAAGGAGGCCCCTGAGAGGAATGCATGGTTCTCCCTAAAGAGGATATAGATGAGATGTCTTGGGTAAACTGGGTGGGGGGAGAGGACAGGGGATGGAGGCAATCAGGATTCTTGGGAGGCTGACAGAGAGACAGAGTAATGAAAGAGATATCTTGATAGAGTGGGCCGTTATGGGGTTAGGGAGAAACCTGGTGCCAGGAAACTCCCAGGAATCCACAAGGGTGACCCCAGCTAAGATTCCTAGCAATAGTGAAGAGGGTGCCTGAACTGGCCTTCCCCTGCAGTTGTAGATTGGTGACTACCCTAATTGTCATCATAGAGCCTTCATCCAGTACCTGATGGAAGCAGATGCAGAGATCCCCAGCCAGTACTGGGCTGAGCTTTGGGAATCCAGTTGAAGAGAGGGAGGAGGGATTATATGAGCAAGGAGGGTTCAAGATCATGAAAGGACAGCTGACCTGAGCTTGTGAGAGCTCATGGACTCTGGACGGACAGCTAGGAATCTGGCATGGGACCAACCTAGGCCCTCTGCACCTGGGTGACAGTTGTGTATCTTGGTCTTTTATGGGGTCCTAGCAGTGGGACCAGGACCTGTCCCTGATGCATGAACTGGCTCTTTGGAACCTATTCCTTGTATCAAGATGCCTTGTTCAGGTCTTGATGCAGGGGGAGGAACTTGATCCTGCCTCATCTTGATGCTCTGCTTATTCCCAAGGGAGACCTTACCCTTTCTGAATGGAGGCGGAGGAAGAGTTGATGGAGGCAGTGAATGGGGTTGGTATGATAAGAAGAAAAAAATCTTATTGCCCTCTATTCGCCACTTGTGCTGTGACATGATTTAATGAGATAGAGTGAGGTGAATGAATTATAATGTAAGATTAAGCTACTAGTGACTTTATGACAATATGTCAGGAGAACGAGCTGCTCCAAGTGATCATGGGTTATAGATCCATAATGTCAGACAGGTAGTGTATACAGCATGGATACACCAGACAAAGGGAGGACTCACTTTCTGGGCAAGACAAAGGGGGATGATGAGAGGTTTTAACATGCTACTGAGGATGACATGCAATTTGAAACACCAATTATTTACTTCTGAAATTTCCCACTTAACATTTTTACACCACAGTTATCTACTGATAACTGAAATCATGAAAAGCAAAACTACAGAAAAAGACACTACTATCAGGTGGTGGTGGCACACTCCTTTAATCCCAGCACTTGGGAGGTAGAGGGAGGTGAATCTCTGTGAGTATGAGGCCAGCCTGGTCTACAGAACGAGTTCCCAAGTTCCCGGCAGGCTCCAAAGTTACACAGAGAAATCCTGTCTCGAAAATTGAAAGGAAGGGGGGGAGGGAAGGAAGGAGGGCAGACAAGAAGACACTATTATATAACTGCATGCAAAACACTGGCTAACATATGAAATTATCACTTAAAATTATTAAATAATAAAGTACAGCCATGGCCAAATCTGATGGGCTACCCATTTCTATAAACGATTTTATTGGAGCACAGTGCTTCACTAATCTATGAATATATCAGCAGCTGCAATAGCCAAGTTGTGGCTGAGACTAAAACCTACAATGTCTAAATCATTCACTGTCTAGCTGCTGACCCACATACCTGCAAAGTATAAGCTGTTATTAAGTAAATAAACCAAAGAAAACACACAATACTGTTTGCAGAGTTCAGTATTTCACACTACACTCACCAATGCTACAGGCTAAAGTAGAACACAGGACACTATCAGAAGGCAGCTTCACAGTAAAGATACATAACTTAAAACTTTTACTGTGACTAGGCATGAATAGCACTCAGGATGCTAAGACAGGAAAATGATGAGATTGAGACCAGCTTGGGCTACATAATAAGATTCTGTCTCAAAAGGTTTTAGAAAGTACTCCATTGTAAATAATTAAACTAAAATAATATATCTACACTTAAAGAGCTGATTTTAAATAATGCTCATATATGCACTGAAAACTGTATGCAGTCTGTGGCTGCATTCCAACAAAGTTGTGAATCACCAGCTAATTGGGTCAGAAATATTCATGAGTAATTTCAGTTAAACTTGAGTAAGCAGTAATTCAAGATTATCAATGCTCTCACTTATTCACTGCTCCGGTTTCTAGTCTAAAAGTTCTGCTACAGATGCATGTACATTACTGTGGCAGTATTATACTAATCAGTGGACTTAGGAGATTCAACTTTTGTTACAAAAATCAATAACTAAATACCAAGTTAATCTTTGAAACTTCCAGTATTTCTTGAGGTTTCTCTGTGTTAATGACAATTTGAGTAACTTTTTCTCACCTCTAACACCTATAATGTCCTTTCATCATTAACCCACTCCTTTATTTCTTATGTAAGCTTCTATAAGAAAAAATTTTCAGACTAAAGCTCTGAAATGCATGTATATGAGCATCCAACATGAATAACTTAAAAATGAAGCGACCTATACTTTTAGGTAGTCAAATGGCTGCGTTAAAGTCACAATCGTCCTTTAAGTAAGTTCTTTTAAGGAAGTGCCTGCCAGTGTTGGAAAGAGAGCAACACCAAGGTGGCTACCCTCAAGTAGCACTTTTCTAAAATTTCTCTCACAAAAGACACTAAAATGACTTTCAAAACTTTTATGTGGCTCAGCAATCATCCAGATATTTTCTAAAGTTGTCATTAAGAGCAAAAGCACAACAGTGTCACTGAAATATCCTAGTAAACTGCTATAATAAAAAGCCCAAATCTATAGTTACCAAATACCAAAGCAAGAATTATCCAACCAGTCTTATCAAAGGACAAGGTGCTATTTGTCAAACAGAGGGGAAAAATACTTACTGGTCTAAAGGGTCTAACCAATAAGCACTAAAATAACTGAACAGTTTTTACAACATGATGCCTCAAGCTAAGGAATTTAATATTTATATGTGTTTAACTTACAAATTCCAATGCAAATTATGAAATAGGTACATGTGTACAGTAGGTAAAAATGACAGACGTCCTTTGTAATACTACGTAAGTTTGATTTTTCAGTTTTTTAAAAGGAAAACTCTTTTAGCTCTCTAATTAGCTTAAATTACCATCCTCATCTTCTCCAGGCAATGCCTCATTTAGGACATTTATCTGCAGCTGCTGCCTCTGCCATATCCTTTATTTCCTTCAAGTTACTCACAACCCAACTTTCACATTGACCTCTGACCTGAAAATGCTTTTTAATAAGAGAATAAGCAATAAAACTACTTTGGGCAGGTAGTGGTGGTACACGCTTTTAATCCCAGCACTTGGGAGGCAGAGGCAGGCAGATCTCTGTGAGTTTGAGGCCAGCTTGGTCTACAGGAGCTAGTTTTAGGACAAATCCCAAAGCTACAGAGAAACCCTGCCTCAAAAAACCAGAACCAAACAAACAAACAAAAAATAAAGTTACTAATTTGTATCTCTACCAAATGTGCAACATAACTTCAGAGGGCTTCTACCTCTGAATAACTTTGGTTTTTTTTAGACAGATCTACATATTATGGCATGTATTGATTATGACCTGGTAGCCCTCCTAACTCAGCTTCCCAGGTGTGTGTAAGCAAGGGCACAGTGAAACCACCAAACTGTATCACTTCCACAATACACCAGGACCAACAGAGCACTGAGGAGAGAGAGAGTCCAAGTCCTATACTCAATGGGCTGCCGAATGCTCTTGGGAACTCAGCCCTGACTGGAGCAGGAACTTGCTAGACTAGGACAGCAAGGTTTATTGTAAACATAAAACTGCTGAGTGGCTTCTCTCTCAGGTGCTAGAGAAAAAATAGCCAGAGGCATTTGGGGCAATCCAAAGTTGTCATGACTACCTCTTAGAAACAGAGAGAATAGCAAAAAGGGGTGAAAGCCTTGACAGTTATAAGGAGAAAAGCTGTAAAGTGGAACAGGCTGGGAGTTTAAGGTAGTGGGGAGGGGATTGTGGGCTCTGAGTGGCTCTGTTATGCATTACAGGTGCTGTTAATAGGTATCTAAAGAGCCAGAAGGTTAGCGTGAGTGCTCTTCCAGAGGACCCAGGTTCAATCCCCACCAACTACACGGAAGCTCATAACTGTCGGTAACTTCAGTTCTAGGTGACCCAACACCCTCACACAGGCACACATGCAGGCAAAACACCAATGTACATTTAAAAAAGTAAATTATTTAAAATAAATAAATAATATAACACACTAAGTCAGGCAGTGTGGCATTCACCTTTAATCCCATCATTTGGGAGGCAGAGGCAGACAGATCTCTGTGATTCTGAGGCTAGCATGGTCTACAGAGCAAGTTCTAGGATAGCCAAGACCTACATATAGAAATCCTATCTCAAAAACTCTCTCTCTCTCTCTGATCTATAATGTATGTACATACATATATATGTAATGTGTATATATATTTATTAAGATACTAGTGCTAAAATAAGTTTCAAGCCAAGAAATTATAAATTCAGATTATTATTTGGGATATTTGAATTCAAAGCCCACATATCAATCCCAACTAAAGCAAAACACCGAGTATTTTATTTTTGTATAAAATAAGTATTTTCACAAAGACAGCACTTCAAATCATAACTGACATACATATAGAATGGAAATGTTAGATGTGAGGGAACTTCTGCAAAGGGTTTCTATGTGTGGGGTTTTTTTTCTGGTTTTTCAAGACAGGGTTTCTCTGTGTAGACCAGGCTGGCTTTGAACTCACAGAGACCCACCTGCCTCTGCCTCCTGAGTGTTGGGATTAAAGGCATGCGCCACCACAGTCGACACCACAGTCTGGTGTCAAAAAACCCAGGATAGCCAAAACAATCCTATACAATAAAGGATCTTCTGGAGGCATTACCATCCCTGACTTCAAACTCTATTACAGAGCTACAATAATGAAAACAGTGTGGTACTGGCATAAAAACAGAGAAGTCGACCAATGGGATCGTATAGAAGACCCGGATTTTATCCCACAAACCTATTTTCGATAAAGGAGCTAAAAGTATACAATGGAAGAAAGAAAGCATCTTCAACAAATGGTGCTGGCACAACTGGATGTCAACCTGTAGAAGAATGAAAATAGACCCATATCTATCACCGTGCACAAAACTCAAGTCCAAAAGGATTAAAGACCTCAATATCAGCCGGAACACACTGAACCTGATAGAAGAGAAAGTGGGAAATACCCTATAACAGATGGGCACAGGAGATCGCTTCCTATGTATAACCCCAGAAGCACAGACATTAAGGGCAACATTGAATAAATGGGACCTACTTAAACTGAGAAGCTTCTGTAAAGCAAAGGACACTGTCACTAAGACACAAAGGCAACCTACTGACTGGGAGAAGATCTTCACCAACCCCGCAACAGAAAAAGGTCTGATCTCCAAAATATATAGAGAACTCAAGAAACTAGACTTTAAAATGCTAATTAACCCAATTAAAAAATGGGGAACTGAACTGAACAGAGAATTCTCAACAGAAGAACTTCAAATGGCCAAAAGACACTTAAGGTCGTACTCAACTTCCTTAGCAATCAGGGAAATGCAAATCAAAACAACTTTGAGATATCATCTTACACCTGTCAGAATGGCTAAAGTCAAAAACACCAAGGATAGCCTTTGCTGGAGGGGCTGTGGAGGAAGGGGTACCCTCATCCATTGCTGGTGGGAATGCAATCTTGTGCAACCACTGTGGAAGTCAGTGTTTCGGTTTCTCAGAAAATTCAGGATCAACCTATCCCTGGACCCAGCAATACCACTCTTGGGAATATACCCAAGAGATGCTCTATCATATGACAAAAGCATTTGTTCAACTATGTTCATAGCAGTATTATTTGTAATAGCCAGAACCTGGAAACAACCTAGATGTCCTTCAATGGAAGAATGGATGAAGAAAGTATGGAATATATACACACTAGAGTACTACGCTGCGGTAAAAAACAATGACTTCTCGAATTTTGCATGCAAATGGATGGAAATAGAAAACACTATCCTGAGTGAGGTGTCCCAGACCCAAAAAGATGAATATGGCATGTACTCACTCATAATTGGTTTCTAGCCATAAATAAGGACCACGGAGTCTACAATAGGTGAGCCTAAAGAAGCTAAGGAAGAAGGTGAACCCAAGGAAAAACATATAGTTGTCCTCTTGGCTAAGGGAAGTAGACCAAATTTCTGGGGAGAAAATGGGATCTTGGGGGGGGTGGGATGGGGGTAAGGGAAGATGGGGAGAGAAAAGGTAGAAGGGAAGGAGGGGGGACCTGGGAAACATGAGAATTGGGATAAAGGAAAGGTGGATAGGGGAGCACGGAACCACAATTCTTAGTTAAGGGAGTCAGTTTAGGGTGGGCAAGAGACTTGACCCTAGAGGGGCTCCCTAGTGCCCAAGATGAGGTTCCCAGTTAGTTCCTTGGGCAGCTGAGGATTGGGAACCTGAAATGACCCTATCCTAGAGCAATACTGACGAATATCTTGCATATCATCATAGAACCTTCATCTGGTGATGGATGGAGATAGAGACAGAGACCCACACTGGAGCACTGGACTGAGCTCCCAAGGTCCCAATGAGGAGCAGAAGGAGGGAGAACATGAGCAAAGAAGTCGGGACCACGAGGGGTGCACCCACCCACTGAGACAGTGGAGCTGATCTACTGGGAGCTCACCAAGGCCAGCTGGACTGTGACTGAAAAAGCATGGGATAAAACTGGACTCTCTGAACATGGCGAACAATGAGGGCTGATGAGACGCCAAGGACAATGGCACGGGGTTTTTGATCCTACTTAATGTGCTGGCTTTGTGGGAGCCTAGCCAGTTTGGATGTTCACCTTCCTAGATATGGACGGAGGGGGGAGGACCTAGGACTTACCACAGGGCAGGGAACCCTGACTGCTCTTTGGACTGGAGAGGGAGGGGGAAAGGAGTGGGGGGAGGGGGAGAAGGGTGGGAGGAGGGGGAGGGAAATGGGAGGCTGGGAGGAGGTGGAAACTTGTTTTTTTTTCTCCTTTTCGCAATAAAAAATTTTGCATGCAAATGGATGGAAATAGAAAACACTATCCTGAGTGAGGTAAGCCAGACCCAAAAAGAGGAACATGGGATGTACTCACTCATATTTGGTTTCTAGCCATAAACCAAGGACAGTGATCCTAGAGAAGCTAAATAAGGAGAACCCAAAGAAAAACATATAAGCATCCTCCTGAATACTAACCTTCAGCAAGCGATGAAAGGAGACAGAGACAGAGACCCACATTGGAGCACAGGACTGAAATCTCAAGGTCCAAATCAGGAGCAGAAGGAGGGAGAGCACGAGCAAGGAACTCAGGACCGCGAGGGGTGCACCCACACACTGAGACAATGGGGATGTTCTACTGGGAACTCACCAAGACCAGCTGGCCTGGGTCTGGAAAAGCCTGGGATAAAACCGGACTCTCTGAACATAGCGGACAATGAGGACTACTGAGAACTCAAGAACAATGGCAATGGGTTTCTGATCCTACTGCACGCACTGGCTTTGTGGGAGCCTAGGCAGTTTGGATGCTCAACTTATTAGACCTGGATGGAGGTGGGGGTTCCTTGGACTTCCCACAGGCAGGGAACCCTGATTGCTATCGGGCTGAGGGGGGAGGGACTTAATTGGGGGAGGGGGAGGGAAATGGGAGGCGGTGGCGGGGAAGAGACAGAAATCTTTAATAAATAAATTAATAAAAAAAATAAAAGACAATACTGAAAAAAATGTATCTTATAAAGTACATGCCAGTTATAATAATAATAAATTATAAATGTGAATACACACACACATAAAACTGACCCCAAAGCGTTTTTGAGTTACAATTTTAACCCCCAATGCCATTCAGAAAAAACAATCTAATATTTTAGTCTAATATATTCCTATTAAGTGCCTTACTTTCCAATCAAATCATTACTTTCAATATTTCTACACAAGTTATCTTTCAAGACTTTCCCACACATTTGTACAAGTTTGTGTTCACCTGAAAGTTCTAAAGCACTAAGATTTGAATGACACTGGCAGTATTACCATACTTTTGTTTGTCATTATCAAATTACTTTATAGATGTTATCCAATTTGAAGACTACCCTGGCTTTCTCTTTCTCCATTAAATAGTTAAGAAAGATTACATGCAGATAAATACTAAACAGACTAGAATAATTTAGAACTTCCTCACCAATTTGATTTTAAACTAATAAAAACCCACGGCATTTAATGACTCTACACTGTAAGTTTTATTACCTTTTCAAATACAGGAACATAGGAAGACACGTTAGGTTTGAGAATTTCTGCTTCCCAATCTTCATCTCCCATGGTAGCTACAGGTTCCTTTAAAAAAAAAAATTTAATGTACTTTTAGCTATGGTCACATCAGAATTGTTAATTTTCAATTATGAGGCTGTGGTTTAGGAATAAGACACAGTAAGTGAAGCACAAGGCAGTGGGGTTGGCCACCACTACTACAAAATAATACATGTAAATTATTTTTTTCTCCTACGCATCTCTTAGAACTACCTGACTAATGTGACCACCCTCCCAGAAAAGCTTTTCTTGCCTATACGTGGTATTTATAGGCAGCATTTTTATCTTTCAAAGCTAGGTGAATCACGCAATTCCCATGTCCCCAGCAATGCCTAGGTTTGGCCAAAATCTTTGTTCTCCCTCAAGGGATTCCCAAAGGGCTTGCTGTAGATGAGGTGGACGGGTAGTGTCTGAGACATTCAAGTTATTTCCCTTTGCGTCCCCTCCGAGATAACTCGGGACACTGAGGCCTTGGACACTAGAAGGGGAGAATGTCGTAAGGTGGCGGCCCGCTCTCTTCGACACAGGGCGTTGAGCTTCCCCAGGGGCGTTCAAACACCGTTTCTTCTGAAAAATGGCCGCCTGGGTACTGAGCAGAAGGTTCCTCAGGCCTCCCCGTCCTGCAGGCCCAGGTCTTCACACCCGCTAGGAGCTCTCAGCAAGGAGCCGCTGGTCCGAAGGGGAAGGCCCCAGAGGCCGGCCTCACAGCCCAGGGAGGCCCTCGTGCCGAGCCCCTGGCTCCAGCCCGGACCTCCACAGCCCCCCTGGGCCCGGCTAGGGCGGCCATGGCCGAGGGCAGAACCAGACGGAGGCCACCAGCTCACTCACCTCTCCGCTCCAGGCTTCCTGAGCTCCTCGCGGCCGCCAACGCGACTTAAACGGCTGCACGTGCGGACGCCTGGACGCCGACTGCGTCAAGTGCGTGGGCCGACAACAAATAGCACCAGGCGACGGGGCCGCCAGCCAATCAGCGCCCGCGCCGCGCGGGTTCCCGCCCCCACCGAGGGGCCCTGCACGTTCTCTGCCTTTGATGAAGCCGAGGCAGGGCTCTGCGGCCTGGTAGGCCTGGAGATGCAGGCTGCCCTAGGGCGTGTACCCCCGCTGCATCCTTCCCGACTCCATCCGCTCCATTTTTATCATAAAGAAAAAAAAACCAAAAAACTAAAAATTGTATCTCCTTGCCCTTTAGGTCTCCTCTTCCTGGCTTGGCCCTCCTGATTCTAAATGTCTGACTTACTCTCTATATTTGACAAATATACGTCCCACTCCTCTACTAAAACCGAGTGGAAGCAATGTTTTTCTTTGTCCTCCCCATTAAAAAAAAAAAAGCGCGAATGAGATTGCGTCTAGAGTTGTAAAGAAAGGCGGTCTGTAGGAAGAAAACAGCCCCTCGGGCAGAAAAGAGGAAGAAATGGCTTGTTTGCCAAAGTCTAGATTTGTGGTTCACCTGTTCACAACCATGAAGGCACTTGCCAGGGGCACTTAGTATTTAAAGCACTCATTAACTACATATTCTAATTCTGTCCATTCCTAACCTCTTTAAAAGGAAAATCTTTCCATGCTTTTCCCAATTCTCCCAGAGAGCCTAACAATGAAATGTATGTAAAACACATTTCGGGGCGGGGGGGGGGGGGTGGTTGGCGGGTGTGTGTGTGTTTTATCATTTTTCTTTCTCTGAAACTTTGAAGAAATTTCTGGATATCTGTCAGGTACAATACAAGATGGTAGATGTAAAAGAGAGGCACTCCAGCTTGAGCTGGCTTTAAAGTTTTCTAGAAACACGTTTGTGTCAGTACCAAACACGTTAGAACCATGCAGGATCCCAAAAGGGAAGTACAAGGGGTACAGCATCTTCCAGAAATCATGTCAGCAAAACATGATAAAGAGTTTGATGGGCAGGCTGTCCTTACAAGCAAGGCTCTAAAAGATAAAATTTCTAGCCATGTGTTAGAATTCCACTGCATGAGAGAGTAAGTTAGGGATTCCTCTAGGCCAAGAGTTATCTGGGCTATGTGGTGAGTTCTAGGTCATCCTGGGCTACGGAGTGTAATGTTTACTAGACTGTGGTATACACCACTAACAAATCATTAGGCAATTCATGGATACTTTTCATTTTGACAGTCATTTTTATGCTTAAACTTGCTATTTGTTGCGTATTTAAAACTATATCTAGCTTTTAGAGATGTAAATGCCTAGAATGAGGCTAAATTAATGTATCCTTTTTAAAACTTCACTCAGCTGAGGAAAAACTTAGCTATATAATAATGTGGGGGAATAGTAAAGCAACATGAAGGTGATATTCAGGTAACTGGAATGTGGGAAACACTGGCACAGATGAAGACTCAGGATCTGAGGGCTGCTCTCTAGCAGAATGTTCTCCACTGTAAAGACATTTCATCAACACCAGTTCCCATCCTGTGCTTACTTAGCAGCTTCCGGATTCCTGATTTTGCTCACCTGTATTTCACATGAACGAGACTTATTGGCACTACCTGTTCCCAGTAATGAATCAATACAGTGGTATTCTAGCTCAGAAATGAGTCTTGTTTGAATTGTGTTCCTGGGAGCTCCTATGTGTAATGGCCCAGGTCCTCCCCTGTGATATTAGTAACCCTAGTACTGTTACAAGTGTACAATGAAAGCTTTGAAGGAAAAAGAAAAGCCACATTCTAGATCAGGACCTCCTGGGCAACTTTCCTCACACGAACAGCCATTTCTGGCCCTTTACCACAAAATGGAGGTTCATCACTGAACTGTGGAATCTGGTGACACAGAACACCAGGGTGTCGGCCTTTCTGTTCCTACTGGATATCACTTGCCTCAAAGAACAAAAAAAAAAAAAAAAAAAAAAAAAACCCGGCTTCCTCTGTGTCCAAAGTAGCAATGGAAAGGGGATTTGTGAATATCACCACTATATGTAATCCTGTACTTTTTTGTTTTTAAGTATTTCACCTTAAAGCAGATTCTGTCTGTGAGCCTGGGCCAGAAATGAATCATTTTGCTGACCCTCTAAGATTGAAGAGTTGCCACTGCTAGGTTCAGTAGCGCATTCCTGTAACCATTACTTGGAAGAATCAGGAACTCAGCTGCAGGACTAGTTCAAGGCCAACCTCTGCAACTTAACAGTCAGCTTCAAAAGCCACAACTAAATACTAAAAAAGCAAAGGCCAGTGAGATGTAATTTGACAACCTGTCGACTTGAGGTTGATCCCTGGGACCCACAGAGGGAAAGGAGAGAACTGACTTCCACAAGCTGTCCTCTGAGCTGTGCCATGGACCGAACACACACACACACACACACACACACACACACACACACACCGGCCCCCATTCTCACACACCCTCCCACATAATAAACAAATGCAATAATAAAATTTTCAAATAAGATAAAGACTAAAAGATTGAAGCTTTTGATTAGAGAGGACATCACCAGCATTTGGCTGATAATGTAGCATTAAAAGAAAATTGGGGGGAAGAACAATAAGTCCCTAAAGTGTATACCATAACATTTTCCCAAATAAAGGAGAAATTAAGAATTAAGCAACGAAAAAAAATTAAGCAATTAGGAATCCTGGCAAACACTATCTTAAGCACATGACCAAAGTCCACAACACTCTTCTTGTTACCCTTTACTATAAAACAAACTACTGCAGAACATGTTGGCTTACAAAAATGCTCTCAGGGTTGTGTCAATTGAGAGGGCCCAGCATACCATCTCATCCGATTATGTTAAAATGCTGAACAGAACCTGGATCATTTTACACTTTAATATCAACTTCTTCCTTTTTGGCATTGCCAGAGTTTGAACCTAGATAATTAAGCATGCCAGGCAAACTCCCTACCACGGAGCTATACCCCCAGCCCCCAATATCAATTTGTTTAAACATCCAAGGTTTTTTTTTTTTTTTTTAGCACTAGTATCTGAGGGCTGGGATAGCCAGAACATATCTCACTACAGGTGGCTGCCCTGAGCTTTCAAGGTTTTTGGGCAATCTGTGAGACTCTATAAGGCTATTGCTCACCTCCAAAGCCAGCATTTCAGCTGGACAGATATGTCATGGACATCACTCCAAGAGACCAGGAGTGTCTTAAGATCCAGCATAAGAAGTTATACAATCATATTCACGATACTCAATTGATTGGTATGAGAAAGTCACAAGGCTGCTCCAGACTCATGGAGATGGGAGCACACAATGTCGTGAAAACTGGAGATACAGTCCTCTGGAAAACCTGGAACCTGACTGGGGTGTGTGGCTGCATCAATCTCAGGTTCCTTTCAGATCCCCAGTAACCTGACTGTTTGCCCTTTTAATGTTGTCTCAAAGTTATCATGAGTGTATTTCATCCTCTTCATTTTTACTCTTCTGTTATTTTCAAATAGCCTGCCTTGGAGTTCACCCATTTTCTCTTCTTTTGGTTTACTCTGTTATCAAGGCTTTCTTAATGCATTTTCATTTTGTTTAGTGCAACTTTAGGATCAAAGATTTCAATTTTTTAAAAATTGTCTCCACATCTTTCTCAATGTTACCTATTAAAGTATTGAATTATCTATTTTCTATTGCAATTCAGTAGGTTTCCTTAAACTTGATTCACTGGTTTGTTTGCTTTTAATTATCTGTGGCAATTTGGATGAGAAATGTTCCCCAGAGACCCAGCTATTTGAACACTTGGAGCCTAGTTAGTTGTGCTGTTTAGGGAGGTTTATGGAATGCAGCCTTACTGGAGGAAGTACGTTAGTCGGGGGTGGACTTTGAGAATGCATAGCTTCACCTGACTCCCAGTTCACACTTTCTGTTTCATGCTTTCCGTTGAGGATGTGAGCTCTCAGCCTCCTGCTCCAGCCATTACACCTGCTGCTTGCCACCATGCTTCCTTACCATGATGGACTCTTATCACTCTGAAACCATAAGCCAAACTAAACTCCTTCTTCCATAAGTCAGCTTTGGGGTCATGGTGTTTTATCGCAGCAACAGAAAAGTAATAATACATTTCTCTGGTTTATCTGGACAGACTCTGACGTTTTATTTTACTGATAGATGAGGCCCACAGTTCCTTGAACATCCTTGATATTGATTGATATATGACATAATCTGAGGAAAGGATTGGGTATTTATCCCAGTCTTCATAATTTGGCCATGTTTTACAGGTTTTGTGTGATTTCAGAAATTCAAGCCAGCATGCTTATTTTTTCAGCCTATAGTTCTATCACTAGATGGCACCAAAGTTCAAGTTGCCTTTTGCAGTACTAGAAAGCAATTCAAGTTTGGGGTTCGCCTAACCTCTCAGCTGGTGAGTTTTTTAAGACTCAGTTAGGGAGCTCTTATAAAAGTAGCTTATCCACATGAATCTCTTCCTGGGGCTTGCATAGGCCTACAATGCATCTTCCAAGGCCATCAGCCTGTGGTCATGAACTGTAGAATTCTGTGAAGCTCTAGAGAGAATCACCAGAGGGACAAGCCCTGGGTTGGTATTCCACTACTGTGCTACCAGGCACAGTACTCCAGAACTGTAGCTATAAATGCCACCATGCTGAGCCCACAATACACCAGGACCAACAGAGCACTGAGGAGAGAGAGAGACTAAGTCCTATACTCAATGGGCTGCCGAATGCTCTTGGGAACTCAGCCCTGACTGGAGCAGGAACTTGCTAGACTAGGACAGCAAGTCTTCCCTGGCGCTGGAACTCTTCAGTAAGCCTGCCTCCATGTAGGACTCGAGATGGGGACTGTTGGGTTCTGCTTGCGCAGTGTTGAGTTTCAGAAGCCCAGCATTAAGTCCTAAGACAAAAATCTGTGTTTTTACCCCACCCCACCCTGATGAATAGAGTCTGAGTACATGTGGTGATACCCAAGCTTTGGACGGTGTTGACGAGAGCAGTCCTTTGGCCATCCAAGATGACATTAACCCATGTCATATCTAGATTTCACAGGTATGGTGTACTACATAGATTCAGCGTATATCCAGGACCATGCCAGACCTGACAGTAAGGCAAGTCTGTGCCAGGAGTCAAGGTCTTGAGCTCCATCTGTGAATATTGGCCCAGGATAGTTGTGCAGCTGAAGGTTGGGATCGGTGGTGGCAACAGTCCCTTAGGGCAGTGGTTCTCAACCTTTCTAATGCTGTGACCCTTTAATACAGCTCTTTACATTGTGGTGCTCCCAACCATGAAAATATTCTCATTGCTACTTCATAATTGTAATTTTGCCATACATCATTATGAACCTGGACTTTGTTTAAAATATGGTTTTAGGGGATTAAATTCAAGTCTCTGCACTTGAAACAGTATGAACCTATCAGTGATCTCAGTGCTGGTGGAACCCTGGGCATCCTGTGATCCAGGCCTGAACCTGAAGATGCTGCTGCTGGACCTGTGATAGTCAGATTGCCAAGACTGCGGTTAGGAGTCTTTCCTCGCAACCTAGGCTTGTAGAATAGAAAACAGGACTCCGCCTATTAGGTAACATGAAAGCAAGCACTCTGCCTTGGAGCTTAGTGCCAGCCTTAATAGTCCCTAAGGCAGGGGTTCTCAATCTGTGTGTTTTGACCCCTGGGGAGGTCAAATGACCATTTCACAAGGGTCACCTAGGACCACTGGAAAACACAGATGCTTACATTACAATTCATAACAGTAGCAAAATTACAAAAATACTAAGATGTGGTTATAGATGAGATGAGACTTGGTTCTGTACTGATTGTTTTTTGGAAGAGAAACACAGAGGTTTACCATACGTCCTACTTCTGTATATAGCTAAAACTTTCTACTACAACAGATGAAAAACTAAGTGTGGTGATTCATGCTGTACCAACATTCATTCGGAAGGCGAACCAAGAGGACCGTGCCATCCTGGGTCACAGAGCAAGTTCTGGGTCAACGTGGGATACAAAGTGAGACCTTTGTAGTTGTTGTGAATTGTGAGGGAACATCGGAGGAAGAAAGACACTAAAGGATGTAACAAGCTCAGCAGCAGGGTGGATCAGCCTCTGATGGACTGACTGCCTAGCAGCTTCGCAAGAGCACTTTTATTGATTGTTACAGAACAAAAGGCCTTTTAGCAAGTCAATCCCTGCAAGCCAAAGTCTCTTCTCTGATCTAGAAGTTGTCCTTATCTAAGCAAACACAGTCATCCTAAGAATTCAGATTTGCCAGGAATGTCTTATGACTGAGGTCATGCTAAGGTTCTGAAATTTCCCAAGAAAGAGCAACCTCATAACTCTCAGGTGACAATCACTGATTATCTGCCAGAGATTACCTCAAGGTCTAAGTGGCTAGCACTCCAGAGTAAACCTTACCTAAAAGACAGATAAATTAAAAACCAAACAGTCCTGTAAAAATGTACTGCGCTCCCTCACTTTTCCTGGCTGTTCTTGTCTGCCTCTATGACCAAATCATTATCAAACTTTTCTTCAGATGTCTCCTTCTCATCCTAGTCATTAAATATTAGTGAGTGTGCTGGTATATGTGGTGAGTAGGGCCTCTTCTTTATTAGTGATTGATGGGGTAGGGCCAGTCCATTGTGGGTGGGGCCAGTCCTGGGCTGGTAGTCCTGGGTTCTATAAGAAAGTAGGTTGAGCAAGTTGGTAAGCAGCACCTCTGCATCAGCTCCTGCCTCCAGATTCCTGTTCTCACTTCTGTAGATGATGAACACAGATATGGAAGTGAAAACCAAATAGATCCTTTTCTTCCCAACTTGATTTTTGGTCATAGTGTTTTGTCACAGCACTAGACTAAGACTATTGCAATTCACGTGTGTCCATTGAAAGAAAGCTCACAGACCCTTGAGAACAAATTTAGCCTTTTGAGGCTACAGGGGTCCTCAGCCTCTATAAACTGAAGCACCTTCACTTTGCCCAGGGCATTTTTATTTTTCCATACTTACAATTATGCTAGTTGATCTTCATATGTTCAAATCACCTAAATGAAGCTTCCAAAAATCCAGTGCCAAGCACAAAGTCTTGATGGAGGGGTGTACAGTGGTTTTCAGGGGTTCCCTCCCAGCTGAGTTTTGCATAGGTTTTGTATTCTTGTGAAACTCTGAGACAATGTCCTGTCAGAGATTCACATAGGGCAATAAAAGGTATCTGTACAATAAAGGATGGATTTGGACTAGGTGCTAACACCAGGGCTAGGCCAGCAGGGGTGGGGGGTAGTGTTAGCGCTAGTTTCTAACTCTTTGGTGCCAGGCCAGGAGGAATTCTGCTACACTAAGACAGTGTGTCTTAGAATTTGTTCATGCTGGGCAGTGGTGGCACATGCCTGTCATCACAGTACTCAGGAGACAGAAGCAGGCGGATCTCTGTGGGTTTGAGGCCATCCTAGTCTACAAAGAGAGTTCCAGGGCAGCCAGGGCTGTTACTCAGAGAAAACCTGTCTCAAAAAAAAAAATTGTTTTCAGTTGCTGGCCTACCTTTATCCTTTTATCCTGAGTAAATTTAAATCTTGCTTCGACTTAGACCTTACTTCTGTAGTTATGGCTACGTGTTCAAACACTTTGGACAGGTCCTGCTCTGGAAGCCAAGATGAGGTCCATGAAGCCAAGGGAAAACTTTGGGCTGAGCCTTTAAGAATCCACTAGGCAGAACACTCAGTTACAATTTCTTCAGAGTAAGGCCTCTGTTGGTCCCTTTGGTGGTGTTAGTGAGCTGTACCAAGAGGATGGGCTGCTATCTTCAAGATCATCCCCACCTGAAAAGTGGGACATGACCAGATGCTTTCTTTTCTTTTCTTTCTTTCTTTTCTTTCTATCCTTCCTTCCTTCCTTTTCTTTTCGGGTTTTTGAAAATAAGGTTTCTCTGTGCAGCCCTGGCCATCCTGGAACTATCTCTGTAGACCAAGCTGGCCTCAAACTCAGAGGTCTGCCTATCTCTGCCTCTGGAGTACTGGGATTAAAGGTGTGTGCCAATACTGCCTGGTATGACCAGAGCTTTCTTACCAATTGCAACTTTTTTTCTGGCCATTGTAAGGTGTTTATTTACTTTTCAACCTTGCCTAAAATTGTTTTCTCATATTGGAATTCGGAGAAAGGAGAAAATGTTCCTGTCAGAGAGGCTCACAAATCAATGCATTGCTCATTTGAAAGTACAGCCAAAGAGTACCTGGTAAGCCTTTAGGAACATGAACACTATAATGAAATAGCTTGTATCCCCCTTAAAGGCAACATTCACCAAGTCACCTACTTGTAATTGTCAAGCCCCCAGCATCAGAATGGGTATTTAGGGCGTTTGAGAGCGGAGTTTGTGTTCCAGATTTTCGCCACTTTAAAGTTTTGGTCTTGCTACGTAAGTCTTGGGGTCTTGATCACATTGCAGTACATTGCTTTCTAACGCTACCTTTCTTTACAGAGCCCTGGCTTGGGGCACGCCATGTGGATTTTAGGGACTCAGCATGAGTTTGACTTCCTTACCAAAATACTTTACGCAGACTGTAGTGTTTATTTGCGTCGGTTTGGGAAAAACTGGGAAGCAGGGAGTCAATATTCTCCGAAAGCTTCTTTGAGTCTACAATCTAGCCACGCCCTCCCCGCTACTCAACCCCACCCCGGCTTCCCTCAGAATCCACAGCGCCCAAGCGCGTGACCTCAGAACATAACAGGAGGCAGGAGAGCCTGAGAAGAAAGTCACCAGGTACGTCAGTCACACCATCTTTTCCTCGCGTGGCCTGTGATGCTGTAAATCTCCTCAGGAGATCGCTTCTACTGTCTTCCTAGGTTCTTCAGGAGAAGAGGACGCAGCCTAACAGAGAAGCACGCACCTGCTCAGCGACCCCGCCTCCGAAGCAAGAGGGCGGGGTTGTGCGGGAGGCTCGCTGCTGCTGCAGAGCCCTCTGGGAGTTGTAGTTCTGGATAGCGGCGCTTTGACAGAGGCCCCGGGCTGTGTGAGCCTAGGACTCCATCCCCCGCCAGCCCCCGCGGCTTAAGTCGTTGCCTCTTCCTGTTTAGGGGACAAGTCGCCCGACGGCCGACAGCTGCGAGGTCTGTGAAGGGATCTTCGCCTCCCGATCGGGTTTTCCAAGGTAGAGGGATTGGCCTGCTGAGGTACGGCACGTTCTCGCTCCTGACAAACTCACCCTGGGACAGTCTGAGAGGGAACCCAGGCGAGGCGGGAAGGGTTGAGCTTGCGGTCAACCGGCTGTCCCTACGGAGGGGTCTTTGGGATGCGGGGAGAGCCAAGCCCTGGGTCAGAGTGACTGTCCCAGAGAGGTTCGTGTCCCTCGAGTGGGTCGAGTGCGGGGAGTCCGCGGGGCTGAGGAAGTCTGAGTCTGCCCGAGTCTCTAGAAAAAGGCAGGGAGGGTGACAGCAGATCAGCACCCGAAGCCGGGATGAGAGGACTGTTGGGATAAGAACAGAAGTGTCCTGTGAGAAAGAGCTAGAGAGAGAGGAATCGAGAGCGGAAGCCTCCTGGTGTCTCGGAATACAGCCACTGGTGTTCCTACCACACCGGTGGTATGGGTATTGCTCACTTGTGTTTGTACACGTTCTGGAGATCCATCCCAGGGCTTGGTAGGTGCAGTGAGATCACTGTTCTGCCAAGCCATTTCCCCAGCCCGTGAACGAGTGCCCTGATAGTGGATGGCATGGTGTGTTGGCTGTCTTGCAATACTGGAGCTGTGGGGCAGCTAGGCTAATGCCTACTCCTCGCCTTACAAATCAGGAAACAGATCCACCGAGTTGGTAACTCCGCTTATCGTCAATCAGTTATTAGCCAGCTTGTCCAAAACCTAACTGTGGTGATCCTTTGGCAGCGCCGTATGTATTGCTAAGTAGATCCGAGTGCCTTTTTCCTTTTCGGTGCCTTCAGATATGACAAAGAACTGGCATGCAGAACAGTAGGCAAAACGATTTTGTTTGTTCATTATTTATTTTGGGTTTTGTTGTTTGTTTTCAACAAAACTTTTCAGTAAGTCATATGACCCTTGTGAATTAAATTTATATGCCTTAGAAACAACTGCTGCCAGATAGACTTGGGGTACACCTGTAATCCCCGGACTCAGGAGAGTGAGGCAGGTGGAGGGATGGTCTCCGGTTAGATACGTAAATAGGCTTTCTCAACCCCGAAAGCCAGAGGTGGAGAGATGACTGGTCCCTAAAGTGCTGATCTTGTGAGCATGAAGACCTGAGTTCTATCTCCAACACCTTTGTAAAACACCAAAACCAGGCACTCTGCCGCAGTAGAGTTCCCAACACTGGGAAGGTAGGAACAGCAGGATCCCCAGGGGCCTTGCTGGCCAACTAGTCCAGTGAGAGACCCTGTCTCAAAAAGTAAGGTAGAGGGAAGATACCTAACTTCAACTGCTGGCCTCTGCATGCGTGTGTGCACACACATGAACATGTGCATACACATACGCTGCACAGACAAGAACAGTCAGCGACTTCCACCTTAACAAAGATGTCACATAATCTAATGCTAAGGAAATAAATTTACCTTGCATTCCCAGTTTTGCCTGCCAAAGCATTGAGAACAATCAGCTTTAAATTTCCTCTCAAAATCGTCAGTAGTGTGTACGTATTGTACACATAAAAATATCCTATTGTGGCTTTATAATACCCTAAGTATTCAACAAGGGTAAACTTTGGAGGACACTACTGCCAACTAATCCCTTGAACTTCAGGACATGGCTCTCTTTATCCAGAACTTAGGAGGAGCTAGTGTTGCTGGTGTGGGAGGAGAGGTTCTTTGGTGCCATAATGTTGCTTTGGGGATTTTTAAAGTGCAGTGTGTCCAGCACTGCCAGGTTTTAACATCCTTCGAAGAACTACTTCATCAGAATAGAAAAAGGTTCTACCAGGGACCTCAGAACTGTAGACTTACGGCTATTAGCTAAAATTATTCATAAGGAAGGAATTTAGGTGAGTGTGTCAGTAGACTCTATAGGAGATTTATAGGGAAAACAGGTGGGCATACAGTAACAGCTTCTACGAGGCCTTTGTAAAATGATGTGATTCCCTTGCTTTATGCTATAGAGGTAGATGAACTCTGACCAAATTTTCCTTGCTAATGACTATATTCTCTCTTATAAAATGTTACTAGAGTCTAGCCATGCACTCCCATTTCCATTTTCTCTATCACACTAAAAGGCGGGGTTGAGTAATTGCAGACATGCAATGGCTGAATAAGCTTAGACAATTTCTTTCTGCCCCTTTTCAGAAAAAAAGAAAGTCACTCTATGGCCTAGTAAACTGAACGTAGAGTATCTGAAATTTTATAACATATATCCATGTATTAGATAATAACTAATATCAACCTCTGAGAAAGAACATACACTCCTTGAATGCTTATGTCCAAAGTAATATTTATCTTACCACAACCCAGACTTTCCGAAAATTGATGTCAGCATCTTAGCATAGATACTACAGATTTGCTTATGGATAGTTATAAGGAGGGTGTTAGAACATCTAGGTCCTGCAGATTGGAAGCAGAGAACACTGAAGGTAAGCAGTCCCAGTCTCTTGTCCATGATGCTACCACCAAGCCCAGCAAGGCCAGCTCCTGCTGCCTGAGGTTGGAGTCAGCTTGAATTATAGTCACACATTAATCAGCCATAGTCTCCTTTCTAGTAACTCTGTGACTTTTACCATACTAAGTCACATATGCAGGTCATAGATTAACTTAAAGCCCCATCCCCTTAAGACGCCGGTAGGAGCAGGAATTTAGTAGCCAGGGCTTTATTGAAAGCCATTCTTACAATTTAGTTTGTTGCAATTAAATGCAAGAAGAGGTAAAAGGGCAACAGTGCCTTGGGTGTGTTCTCAGGGTGGTGGTGGGAGGGGGCTTGGTGGGAGCCAGGTGGAGCCTGCCAAGACCAACTCCGTTGGTTTTTTTCCAGACCCTGTCCCTCCTCTTATCTGGTCAGCTTGGCTATCTCATACCCAGCTGCAAGCCCTTTCATTTCTTATCTCTAGTGTTCCCAACCTCTGCCATTTTAATCATGACATTCATTTTAACTTATTTGTTTTTACCTCAATATCACACAAATTAGGTAAGCTGTCGCTTTCCTTTCAGGACTCATCTTGGTCTTTTCATGTCATTCTCACGAAACACCTGGCATGAGTGATTTATAAGCAGCAGATTTAGAGCTGACTTTTCCGAAGACTCAGGAGTCTGAGGTCAGGGTACAGTTAGTTTGAGTGTTTGGTAAGGGCCTGAGCTCTGCTTCCAGGTGGCTCTTTCTCGCTATGTTCCCACATAGTAAAAGAGACAGAAAGGCAAAGTGGGACTTCTGGCTCAACCCCTTCGGCCCTTTTATAAGGTACTAATCATATCTCCTAAAGGCTCTCAGTACTGTAACCCTGAGTCATCTCTCCAGCCTTGGTAATTACTTCCCACATAAACCTTGGAGGTAAAAATGGCAGTACCCCATACTAAAACTAGTTTTAAACAACCAGGAACTCTTATTGACTTAGCTTTGGGTTAAGAGTCTTGACTTCGGCCGGGCATGGTGGTGCACACCTTTGATCCCAACACTCGGGAGGCAGAGGCAGGTGGATCTCAGTGAGTTTGAGGCCAGCCTGGTCTACAAATTTGAGTTCCAGGACATCTAGGGCTGTTACACAGAGATACCCTGTCTAGAAACGCCCCCCACGCCCAAGAGAGAGTTTTGAATTTTGAATTTAGAGTTTGTTTTAAAGCCCAGAGATTAAGATACTAGAACTAGATGTCTATCTACATCACCTTGCCGGTTTAATGCCCACCAATTCTATCATTGTTAAGCCTGCAGCAAAGAGTTACTGTATGAGTGGTTAGCATTTTTGTCATCAATAGACTGCTCTGCGTTCTAACTCCCAGTTAAGAACACTTACTCCCTTTTCAACCTACTTCATCAAATAGAGTATTATAGCTTTACTCGTTGTTAAAAACCATTAAATTGCTTATGGAGCAGTGTTTCAGGGGAAGTTGAAGTTCAAACTAATTGATTAAGACAACTGGAAACCACCAAGTTCTATACTTATTTTTCTAAACGTTATTAAATATTTGATAAAAGGCAGTAAGAACTTTGGACTTCTTGTTTATGAATTTCTTTTTTTTATTTAAATCAACTTTTGGGCTTCTTTGTGGTGAATCGCCAGTTTTACTACGCCACAACATTGCGGCATTGCTTGAAATAAATATTCATATGTGGGTCAGCTAGAACCTCTCAGTTCCTGAGTGGCCGTCATGACTTCCTTAGTGTCACCCACTTCTTGGTAAGGCTGACCGATGGAAAAGAATCTTTCTCAAGATTCCGTCTCCCCACCTTAGTAGTGTTCAGTCCCTAGTTAGAATATCTCCAGGAATGACAAGGACCCACTCTTTCTGAACTCGGACACAGTCTTAGTTTAGTTTATGAATCAGTGCTGCAGAGTTGGCTTACAGATAGGAAAGGATAGCCACCTACCTCTTCCACTTTTAAGCAGGTTTGGTGTTACTCTCATTTGGCTGTTGTCCTTTCTCCTGCTGTAATGATCCTGGAAGAACTGGTGGTGACTAGGAAATAGCCTTGAGACCAAGCAGGAGGGGCGGGGGAGCTTGCATCAGGAAAGATTTGTCTAAACTAGTTACCTTAAAGAAAATAAACCCCTTGTGTTTAATATCTAATGATGGACACATAGAAAGGTAATTTCGTCATCTCAGTCCTATCTATGGTTTAAGGTGAAATCTGTTCTGGCTGCTGTTGGTCTCTTATGCACAATCTAGGTGATGAAGACCTGCTTGTTCAGATGGCTCTTGGGTCTTTCAGAGCACTTAAGCTCCTCTTAAGTGTCACAGTGTAGAGGAGATGGCATCGGGCATCGCACTGATCTGATCTCAGTCCCTGCTGGGGCTTTATTAACTAAGTGATCTAGGACAAGTTTCTTCTCTGAACTTCATTTTCTTTTTCTATTTTCCCTTATTCCTTCCTTCTCTTCTTTCCCCTTCTTTCCTTCTAATGTGAAAGTAATTGGTTTTTCCCGAAATTCAGCAGTTTAAACAGCATCATACAAAACAGAAGACAGTGGGAAGCATTCATTTAAATATAGCAATAGCTCCATCTCCAATCCCATAGCCACTCCATCCTCAC